AGATGGAAGTCTGCACCTGGTTTATCGTCCACAGAACGAGGCTGCACGCCCACATTTTCACAACAAAATAGAACAGGCTGCAGTGAGAGTCTCTCTCCATGGGATATTTAAAAATAGCAGCTTTGTGCATTTAGTCCTTCTCAGGCAAGCTCAGGGGTTTAGTGTTGCTGTAGCCCACAGGAAGTGAGGATTAGAATATATGACCTTCACATAATCCGCTCCAAATTAATCTATATTTTTAAAGTCATTACTAAAAGTGTGTGTCATATAAAAACTAAAGTGATGGTCAAAGTTGTCACAGTGAAATTTAAGGTGTGCTGATGGATTCACGTCATCAACTCATGCATTGAGTAACATTACAAGTTAACGTTCCACCTTAAAAGTTGCCGGCAGTCGGCCCAGTGAATGAAGTTATTTTTTCTCAGACTCCAGCTGCTGTGAGAGGCAGCAAAACATCCTTTCATTTTATAGTTACAGTTTACTAATAAAACTCTCCACAGTATGAACAGTGGTTACATGAGCCTCAAAACCAGACACAACTCAGCCCTGAGCAGAGTGACCGTCCTCTACTGACCAATCAGACTGCAGTGTTCACAGCTCCACCTTTTAGCACCAGATCTGTGTGCTAGGTACCCCAACAGAGGGGGGACCAAACATGGGGACGCTAAGGAACGCTTCTGTTGGTACCATCCACAACTTTTCACTGTGGAGACAGAAACAATGTGTACTGAACTGAACTGAACTGAACTGAACTGCTCGGTGGAAACGGGGCTTATTAAAAGATGTTTTGTATCAACATCAACAGTGGGACATTTTTGGGATCTGATTCTCCACAAGGATCAAACTGGGACAAGCTGTTGAGTGTTGGATCATGTGTTGTTCTGCCTCGATTGTTGAGCGCCTCCTAAATGTAAAGTTGAAATGTAGGATGTGGAGACTGTTCTGGAGGAACATGGAGTGTGAGCAGTACTCTGAGCACTAAACTAAAGCAGAGACTGAACCCAAATGGTCCTCCATTTGGATGTGTGAATAATGAGTGAGTGAATGTATGGATATGTGTGAGTGAGTGAGTGAGTGAGTGATTGAGTGAGTGAGTGTCTGTTGTGTTTTTGAGAAATGTTCCAACACTATCCTGTAGCACAGATATTCTATATTTATACTCCTGTATTCTTGTTTATGAATGTTCTGTGGTTACTGTTGTTATTGTTTAATACAAAATAAGCAATAAACATGTGCTACACATAACTGATTGTTCTTATATGAGTCTGTGACACTCTGTCAGCACCTAAGGTTATAGATTTAAATATTGCTCATGGACTTTCCACGTCCACATATGACGTCCAAGGTACCCTGGGTGTGTTGGTTGTTGACGTTCTGGGACGCCGTGTCAACTTCAGCCTGTTACATGCATTGTCTGTTTTCAAAATACACTTCTGTTTTCACAGGAAATGTACAGTTTGCATACAGTCTCTTTCAAAATAAAAGCACTACATCGGTACAACACGTGTCCATGGACAGCTCTGACATGTCTGAATATAAGACGGCTACAAAATAAAAACTCACCACTGTAAAACGTCCTGTTTTGGTCTTTGTTATGAAGATGTTTCAGCTTGGGAGAGCCGACGCCATTGTTATCTTCGCCACAGTGGTGTCTTTAGCAGCTCATGTAGCCTCAGGAGGTGAAATCCAGTGAAGGTTAGGGTCGTGGCATTTCCAGTACTCACTCTAAGGGGAGACATGAGCACAAACAGAGTGCTTCAGACAGAGGTGCTGCAGCAGTATAAGAAATATAACATGTTTTTTGAACATTAAAGCACTCAAATCTACTCCAGGAGACCCCAGTATTACACATATGACCCTAAAAACGAGCTTAACAGGACTTCTTTAATGCTGCATGTATCGGTCCTGTTTGTGTACGTGTGTGTATTTTGAACTTGTGTGTGTGTATATGACAACAGAGTGAAAAGAATGTAAAAATAAAGTATATCTTAATCTGGTGGCTGCTCAGCTGTTGCAGTGTGACCTCATGTCTTCAGCAAATGACCTGAGACTCCCACCTGACAGAGTGCACTGCAGCACTCGTTCCTTTACAAAGTAAAACTCCATCTTCCATCTTTCTCTCTCTCCTGCCTGTCTGCACATGCTCATGAGATCACGCTGCTTTTCAGTGACACTGCATCATGTGATTTTTAATATCTGTGCCAGAGCAGCTCCAGACTCTGAGTGGGAGTGTTGGGCAGTAATCTGACCGTGTTCTGTAAGACGCTGACATCTAGTGCCAAGTCTGGGTTTTGTATGTTTGTTTCCACCCACGTGCTCCAAAGCACAGTTGGAAATCTGTGACTTGGTTAAATTTTGTTTTCTCAGTGACTTGCTGTCTTGTGAATGAGTGAAAAAACGGAAACATCTGGTGATAACAGCACAAAAACAAAAAGTAAGACAAAAAAACCAACAAGCTTATTCTCTGACGGGCTGCCCTGCTGCAGTGATGAGAGCTGGTTGAGTGTGTGTGTCCTGTAGCAGCACACCTGATGTTGTCGACCCAGTCACACAGGCTTCATCTTACCTGACGAACTTTAAGGAGTGAAATGTTTTCTGTCCAGTTTCATCACAATCTGTTGAGACAAAAATACAGAAAAAGGAAAAAACTTGTAGTATACATTTGAGAAAAAAAGATTTTGCTCTGATTATTAAACCACAGAAACTTTAAATAAATGGTGAAATGTTTTCAGAATCATTTACTCATTAGTAAAGATTCTCAGTTTGAAATCTGGAACAGTCCAGACTCATTAAACTGCTTCTTTCTTTGTCTGTTTTAAATGGTGTCTTTTGCTGCTGTTTCCATCTTTGTTGTGTTGCAGCCTACAGACAAATCTGTTACACGTCCAGTTATGAGTCATACGGATCAACAATACATACATTCAAGTTTTCAATAATATTCATAGTAATTAGGCTCATTCCCAGCTCTCCATCTATTCTTACTACTTCACCTTCTCCACCAATAAATCAGCTGCAACTGATTCAAAACTCTGCAGCACGAGTTCTCACTCAGACCACAAGGAGAGCACACATTTTAAAATCCCTGCACTGGCTGCCTGTTAGTTTTTGTATTGATTTTAAAGTTCTTTTATTCGTTTAAGGCACTGCATAGCTTGCACCAGACTATATCTCAGAGATGTTTTTATTTTATGAACCAGGAAGGCCCCTCAGATCCTCTGGCTCCTCTCTTTGAACTGTCCCACAGAGTAGAACAAAAACATTTGTTGATGCTGCTTTCAGCCACTATGCTCCAAAAATTCAGTCTGGCTTTTATGTAGTGTCCTAAATTAGTTATATTGTTTTATAACTATTCTATTTATTACTTTTTATCTGTATTTATCTTCTTGCTACTTTTGTTTTTATTCAGTGGTCTTATCTGTATTTTTCTCTTTTCATTATTGCACAGTAGTTTTGATCTAGTTTTTATCTTCTATTATTGTTTTAAATTATTATTGTATGACACAGTGTGCATTAGTTTCCCAGTCCTTCGTCTGTCCTTACTTTTTTATTCTCTGTATTTTTCAATAAAAAATGTAAAGCACTTTGAATGACACTGATTTGTTTTGAAAGGTGCTATATAAATAAAATTTGATTTGCTGATTGATTCTTACACATTAAAGCCAGCATTGCAGTGTCACGTAAGCTTCTCAAACACCTTCAAATATTCCTCAAATTCATACATGCATGGTATTATTCAGCATTTCAAGCGAGCAATGCAGTATAGTGCAAGCTATTCAACTTGAGCATTCATACCTACAATTTCTTCAGAGCTGGGGTCTCCAGTGTTTTACAGGCCAGGGGCCCCTGAGCTGAAAGGGGGACAAAGCGGTATTAAATAATCTGTACAAAGTAAGTTGTGTATTAAAGGATAACTGCAGCACTTTTCAACCTGGATCCTGTTTCCTCATGTAAATCGGTCAAAGAGACCTATGTGCACAACAGCCTTTAAAGTTGTTTCAGTACTGAGTATACGGACAGCGAGCAGCAGCCGGTAGCCACAGGACAGGTTGCAATGGAAGCACTTGGGGGCAACTGAACACCGTCACCGTGTGACCATTAACAGTGGTCATGTTTGAGGCAGAGTGGCTCAGGTTGTTATCTTAAAGGGATAGTGCACCCAAAAATGAAAATTCAGCCATTGAAACCACAAAATATCTCCATACTGCTCGTCCGTAGTGATCCAAGTGTCCTGAAGCCCCGACATAAAAAGCTGTTTGGACAAACCTCATTTGAACTCTGTTTTTAGCCTCATTGTAGCCTGTAGCTCTGACTGCCTCTCTGGGCACCGCGCTCACGTGTGGTTTCAATTATGTGTTTTTGGAAGTTTGAATCTGGGGCGCCGTCAGCCTCCATTAGGTGGAGTTGTGTTGCTACCTCCTCTCCCCTTGGATCTCTGCAAGTGATGTGAGGACTCTAAAACTTCACCTGAGCCTCCCTCGGCATATGGGTGAGTAGATAATGGCTGAATTTTCATTTTTGGGTGCACTATCCCTTTAAGGGTGTGAAGTGTCTCTTTACCTTTCACTTGATCCGGTCTGTTTGTTACTGTCTCGTTAAGCAGAAGTCTTTTTCTAAAACATCAATTGTATAGGTCCTGTTTCTGCATGTGTGAGTATTTCAGGCCTGTGTGTGTGTGTGTGTGTGTGTGTGTGTATGACAACAGAGTGAAAAATTGAATTAATAAAGGATTAATAAAGTCTATCTTCTTCTTCCAAACCCCAGTGTGTAGCTGATGTGTTCAGTGTCTAATCTAGAAACAATAAAAACATCTCTAACACTCTCAGCAGACTGAACTGAGGCCTAAACACACCTGACTCAGCCTCTGTCAGCTGCTCTGTGCAACCTTCCTCTATTTAGTCATATGACACAGATCACATGACTGGCAGATAAAGCCCCGCCTCTCGTATCTGATTGGACCACACTCCTCCGCGCCGCCGTGTGATTGGCTGAGAGCTGTCAGTGTTTGCGGTGGTCGGTTATTTAATCAGTGTTTTGGACGGCAAGCTGCAGAGTCATGTGTTTGAGTGAGAGTTCAGTGTGAGTGCTTCATCTGTTGTGTCTCCATCACGAGATGCGTCTGTTCATCGCAGCTGTTGTCCTGTGGGCTGTCTCAGGTAGGAGACGTTTAATTAGCAGCACTGTGTTAGCAGTTAGCTAACGTTAGCTAGGCTATGAATGCAGCTAGCAAGTGGTGTTATTAGAGTCGTGTCGTAATAGGTAACGGTCAGGTTGCGAAATATATACTTTCAGATTTAAGTGCTTTACAGCGGTGGCGAATACATATTATTATTATTATTATTATTATTATTATTATTATTATTATTATTATTATTATTATTATTATTATAATAAATGAATTTAAATACCAAAGGAAACATACCTGCTTTTGTCTAAGCTACGTGCTAATGAGTTCAGACAGTGTTGTGCCAAACTTCAGTCAAAAATCATTCAATTTAAAGTTTTCTTACTTTTTAAGATATCTACAGGCATCTTAAAATGTGTCTCATGTTACCTGAGGACACCTCAGAAACTCGTCTGAAATTCGGTGTATATACAACACACTGTGCAACACTTTCTAGGGACTGTTCGTTATTTGTAAGGAGAGAGGGAGGGAGCAAAAAGAGGAGGTATGTCAATTAATTAGGACTCAATTCTCCTCGTGGACCAACAGTCCTCATCAGGGTCCATCAGTGGACCAACAGTCCTCATCAGGGTCCATCAGTGGACCAAAAGTCCTCATCAGGGTCCATCAGTGGACTAGTCTCCTGCATGTTTCTGATATGAATGTAATGATTAAATGATATATTTTGGTGGTTTGAGTTGAAGGTGTGAGAAAGAATAGTATCAGTAACATTGTTAACACTGTGCTACATTACAGAGAAATACAAACCGTACTAATGAACCTTCATTAATATAGGCCTATATTTTATCTCCAAGTGCACGTCACACACTGAGCGAGCCGCCTGTTAATGACGCTGTGGGCTAATGGGCATGTAGCTACTTCCATGTTTCACATGATACGTCATGTTTATAGTCGACCAATGAAGATGAGTTTACATATCACCTTGGGTTCGTCCTACACCTTCTCAAAATGATCCCACACTTTGGATTTCCTGCCTGACATGTTATTAACTAGCCTGTGGAATAACCGCAGGTACCAGCCCTGGAGATTAGAGGTTGTACACATGCTGTGTCTTTAAACATGAGCTCAGGTGCTGGGTGCTACTCTTGTGCCTTTTCTGTGCCAGCTTTCAAAAGTGCACCGGCAGGTTGCATCTGACGTTGATAACCAACCTTAACAAGCATCATATAGCCTGTTTACCTGAAACCCTGAGTGCAGAGCTGATCTTCTTCCAGGAGCTGTTTATAAGTGTGTAGGCCTATCGTCTGTGGGACAGATGTAAAGCTCTGGGTAGCCCTGCACTAAAAACAAGAGGGTCAAAGTTCACGGTGTAATGTTATGAGAAAGTCCTGATTGTGTGCGCACTGCATGCTACAGTAGGTACGTTTTAAGGGCAGCTGCAGGACATACTAAAAGTAAACAGTAAAAGTATGTGATCCAGAACTCACCCATTATGTGGAACAAATGCTTCCATCAGAAACAAAACGTAACCAAACCACCAAAACCACTTTATTCTACATGTCTAATTTCAATTTTTGCTAAAAATAAACCTTTTGCAGGAACTAACCAGCGTGCATGACAAGAGTGAAAGAGCACAGCTACTGAATCACCACATTTTTTTTGCTGATGTTTGCGTTGAAAATGATAAGGACACACTCTCAGACCAAATGTCCAGGACAGCTATCAATATTCTGAGCAACACTGTGTGTGTGAAAAGTAGGTGTATAAGTTCAGTAACACAACTGGAAATGTTCTTTTTCAGCTACAGAGGGGAAAGCAGTTCCTTCTCCTCCAGATTTTGGGAGCAGCTATCATGTCAAAGGTGAGCAGTACGACATCATATCACACATCAGGTCTCTGCTTCCCCAGAATTCAGCCTCATCACAAAACTGTCTCACATCTCTGTTTCAGGAGTGATCTCTCTGCCCTACGCTGAGATCAAGGAGCCATTTGAGGCCTGGTTGGATGCAGCAGCAAAGTCCAGCCGCATAGACTACTACCATGGTGAGAAACCTCTTGACCCGCGTCTGCTCCTCTTAAACCTGGCGCTCGGCTGGATTAGTGATGTGAAACTGAGAACATGATGTGTCAGACCAGTGTGACCAGAGCAGAACATAAGCACTCAGTACATAAACAAAGAAGTGGAAAAAGAATGAATCAGCATTTTTCTTGTTGGGTCATGTTTCACACTCAGACTCTGAGCCTGTTTTCTTCCTGGCACAAGATAATTTTATGAGCTGTGTATTTTGTGTCCTCACCATCCTGAGGAGGTAACATATCTTGAATGAAGAAGGAACTTCTGAATAATTTTGCCTTCCTGTGACTTTCAACCTACCCACCTGTACCTCGTGTCCAGTTTACATTTTGTCTCTCATGGTGTTGTAACTATGTGTGTAACTGTGTTTATCATCACCAAACAAAGCAAGCAGAGTCGTGACACCTTTACCAGAGGTGGATAGAACAGCCCAAACACTGCACAGTAAGCCTGATGTTACTGAACGAGCCAGTTATAAATACTTACTGAGAAATAGAAGTAGCCAAAAAGTTCATACTCAAAGCTCCAGTGTGGAGGATTTATGGGATATATTGTCAGACATAGAATAAAATTTTGTAAGTATGTTTTATTTAGTTTATTATAATCACCTGAAGGTAAGGATTGTTGTGTTTTCGTCACCTTAAAATGAGCCGTTTATATCCACGTAGGGAGCAGGTGTTTGTTAATGGAGATCACCATGTTGCACTGCCATGTTTGTACAGTAGCCCAAAAAGGACAAACCAAACACTGGCTCTAGACTAGTGTGTCTAGTGTTTTCATGTCGGTCACTGCAGTAAGAAGTCCACCTGCAATGAGCAGCGTCGGAGATGCACTGATTTGAAACGTTAAACTGCTTTATTCGTTGTTTTGAATCACTTTGTCTGTTTGTTTTGGAGAGGAGGAGATTTGTGGATAATTTGGCTTCCCATGAAAACTATGGAAAGTTTTATTGGCCTTTATCATTTGTAGCCCACACAAGATGATCTACAAATGTGTGCCATGATCCACAAATACTTCACTATCCACAAACATGTCTTTTTACAGTTGTGTTGTGAAAAGTCATATCCACAAACTTACTCTATGAAAACATATTTTAACTTCACATAAAAATGTGACAGATTTAACAAATATTAAGAGTTTCACCACAGGAAATACACATGAAGTCATATTTACGTATTTGTGGATCCATGTTTACACGTGAAACAGGTTTAGCACATTTGGGGATGGCCTACTGTGAGTTTGCAGGTCATGTGACATTTGTGACTTCCCTCCTGTGTATTTGCGTAAATTTGTCCGGTTCCTGCCGCAGCAGGATCTGTAAAAATAAGTATCTGTGTGAGGTGCATTTACTCGCCACATCAGCAGGTGACGACATTCTCACACATGAGATAACTGTACCAAGTAGCTCACGATAAAAACTTAATGTCTGGATCAGAAAAAGTTGACGTTAACTTATGAGACAAAAGGTCTGAGCACACAACATGTTGTGGGGCATTTTTAGCCTTTAATGTATAGGACAGACAAGCGTGAAAGGGGGAGAGAGAGAGAGTGACATGCAGCAAAGTGCCACAGGCTGGGGTCAAACCCGGGCCGCTGCGGCCACCGACGCCCCACAACTGTGTTTTTATGTGTTTTTACCAGATAATATCACCTGGTTTGTTTGTTTTGGAGACGATAAAAACCTCCTGAACAATAAACACTGAAGGAATTCTCAGTGGAAGAAGTTTTTAGCTGGTTACAGTCTGCAGTTCACCGTTAGACGACACCAAATCCCTCTAAATCTTACACACTTTACTTTTAGTTGTGAGTTTCAGAACAGAAAGCCAAAGCAGACCCAGGATCAGCAGACCAGCAGCCTCTCTGGATAGAAGAGAATATAATACATGAGACATGATGCAGCTTTGCAAATGGGCAGTAAAAAGTCGGCATCAATGCAGGCTCGCTGTCAGGTTTTCTATCCCACTTCCACTCCCTACTGGTTAAATTGAGATGGCACTTAATGTGATGGACCCTCCACATGAAGGCAGACATGGAGTGGAAGTGGGTAGGGAGAGGGTAGATGGAGTGGTTTGGCAAAGGCCCTAACTTAACTACATTCATCATCAACAGGCCAGGTGTCAACCTACCAGCTGGGGGCGGAGCCACAGTGGGGCGTTGCCTATAAAATCACTCCAGAGACCACAGAGACGGAGCTGAATGTGATGAAGTGTTTCCAGTCCAATGGAACAAAGGACGAAGCAGTCACAGCGCAGGCGTCGCTGCCTGACGTGCAGGGCTTCCAGGTCTGTGAGTGCAAAAACACACCACACTTATTAAACTGATTTTTGAAACAGTCTCATCAGGATATACAGTCTTGAAGGATGTAGCTGACCACCAGGTCACATCCTGGAATATTTACAGTGCAGAAAAAGAATAACTTGTCTCTGCTGTTGCAATGTATTGTGTGATCCATTAAAGTGCAAGTGTGAGTGAACCTGAGTGACAGTTTAAGTGTAAATGCTCTCACAGAATCTAGTTCAGCTCTCCCTGACATGGAGCCTGTCCAGTGAATTCTTGTAATTCAGATGCAGGTCTTAGAGTGACTTTATAGTCTTAATGAGTGAGGTCACGGTGTTAGTTCACTGTGCTGTTGACTGTAGTCCCACATCCTTGTACCACTGCACACTAGAGTGATGTTAAGGACTGGGGAAAAATGTGCTCCATAAAAACAGAACAATCAGCATTGAGTGTTCAGTGTTGGAAAAACGCTCTCACAGTCTCTGTCCTGCTGCTCATGTGTCATGATGTTAACCCCTCCATAGTTCCTGAGGATGGAGTACTATGGAGGCTCCCTATGTGAAGTCTGGCAGAATGTCACCACTGTGGGTTACAAGAAGAACACGTACACACTGTGGGTGACCCACTCAGAGAGAGGTGGTGACAGCAGGGACGACCCTGCCGTACCCCTCCACTATGAGATGATGGGCTACAACACGCTGCTGGGCTCACATTACGACAAGTACCTGGTGGATTACAAAGAGTTCAGCACTCACGTGGACCCTAAAGTCTTCTCTCTGCCTGAAGGTTTGTGCTCGGCTGCAGACTCACATCAAGACTCACTCAGGAGGATTTAAAGGGGAGAGAAACACTTGTCTGCTTTGTTGATTTTTTCCCCTGCAGGGATGAGCTGTGGGCCATTTCCTGGTCCGGGAGTGGAGCACCACATGTTGGCCAATCCGATGAAAGATCTCATCCACACATCAGCATCAGGCCACTCACAGCGCATGTTCGACTACTTCAAGGACAAGTTCCAGCGTCAGTACAGCGACGAAAGAGAACACGAGGAAAGGCAGCACGCTTTTGTTCATAACCTCAGGTGAGAGGAGCTTCAAGTACTCATGAGCTGTGACACTGATAACCAGTATGGGCATTAAAGGGATAGTTCAGATTTTTTTAAAGTGGGTCTGTGTGGCGAACTTATCTATAGACAGTATATTACATACAGTTAGCAAATCCTAAGTTTGGAGAAGCAGGCTGTAGTCTGAGGTGGAGGTTAAGGGGCCGTACACATGCTGCGTTTTAAAGTGCCTGGAAAATGCGAGGTCAGGTGCTGGGGTGCTACTCTTGTGCGCACTCTGTGCCAACTTTCAAGGCGCGGCTGCAGGTTGAGTCTGAGGTTGCTAAGCGACCATAACCAGCACCATATCAGAGCCTAATTATCAAAAGTCCTGAGTGCAGAGCTGATCTTCCAGTGTGTATTAGACCAAAAATATGGGACTGTCCGTGGGACAGATGTAAAGCTCTGGCAGCTCTGCACTAGAATGATGACTTCTCCATGTTTACACACTGATATTTACGGAAGAAGGGAAAGATATCTGCTGGCTGTGATTGGTTGGTCCTCGTCACATGACAGGCGGTGCACGCTGCTGCATTCAAAAAGTTTCTCTCAGTTTATCTCAAGGCACAGCCGCTGCGCTCTGATAAACAGGTGCTCGGGAACGTGTATCCACTACAACGGCATCGCTCTGGCATTTGAGTACAAGCCAACAAAACGTATTTTAGCCACTTAAAAAAGTCGCAACTAAAAGAAATCAATATCAGTTTAAGTGTACGTTTATATTGAGAGTATTTCCTCTGCTTTACCTTAATGTCACACAGCCTGATCTGATGAGGAAGCTTTTAACGGCTTCAGTTCCCCATCTTTGCACTTGTGAAAGCCACCAGACTCCATTGACAAAAACACTAATTATAGGCCCGTTTCCACCGCAGGGACTTCGGGGTAATTTTCGGGGCCGGGGCCGTTGGTGCGTGTCTCCACTGCAGGAACCACCCCCGAAGGACAGAGTTCAGGAACTTTTACAGGGGCTAAACAAGTCCCTGCCTCGGAGCAGGTACTCAGAACGGCCCCGAAAGACTCCCAGCTGGGGCTTGGGGATTACTTGGTGCTGATTGGATATACTCAAGGAGGGATGTGACGTCAACAGAAAGCAACAAAATAGCCGGCATTTTTAAAACTCAGCAGGCGAGGGTTAGCTCGTTCATATAGCTTCCTCCGCCATGTTAAAAAAACTCATTAAATGGCCCGTGAAAAAAATATCTTTTCCAGCGGATATCTTAGTTACAACATGATTGAGCTAGCAAAGCAGTTTTGTGTTGCTATGTGTGGTATTTATTCAGTTTTGGGAAATCACAATGTCTAGAAAGCATCAGCTGACTGGGACAGCTGACAGCAGCAGCAAAGCTAACATCAGGACGTCATCTGTTAAAAGCCTCCCGTTGTCGGATACGACATGAAGCTACTCCAGTTAGCTCAATCATGTTGTAACTAAGACATCCGCTGGAAATTTTTTTTTTTTTTTTCACGGACCATTTAGTGAGTTATTACAGACACCGCTAAGGGCTATCAGCTAACGGCGTCCCTACTTCGCCCCGGTCAAAATGGTCGCGCAACGATTACGTCACATCCAGAGCCCGTAACTTTACAGGAACCTTCCTCCTACTCCACTCTCTCAGTGGAGACACGGCGGTTGAGAGGGCCGAGCGAGAGGACGTTCCTGTAGTAGTTCCTGCCCCCCAAATAGTACCAGGAACTTCTTCAGTGGAAACGGGCCTTTTAAGCTCACTGAACACAGGAGCTGTTCTGCTGGTCTACTGCTGCTTCAACCCCACCCAAAATGATCTGAACTATCCCTTTAATGCCAGTCCAGCACTGATATCCTGTACATCTGATGACAGTTTCCTTGTTGCCGCAGGTACGTCCACTCCAAGAACAGAGCAGGGCTGTCCTTCTCTCTGGCTCTCAACTCTCTGTCAGATCGCACCATGTCGGAGCTGGCCGCCATGAGGGGAAGGAAACGAGGAAAGACCCCAAACAGAGGGCTGCCTTTCCCCGCCAAGATTTACCAAGGGGTGAAAGTACCCGAGTCACTTGACTGGAGGCTTTACGGTACGTGTATATATACACAGTCTAAAACTACAGATGCATCTTCCTGGCTGGACGTTCTAGCTTTTACCCCGGCTGCGTTCTTACAGGTGCGGTGACTCCGGTGAAGGACCAGGCCATCTGCGGCTCCTGCTGGAGCTTCGCCACCACTGGAGCAGTAGAGGGCGCTCTCTTCCTAAAGGTGAGGGGGATGAAAAGCAGTGTGCTGCACAGTCCTGGCCACATTCCAGTGTCTTTAACTGACGGGGCTGCTTCCTAATGCTCTTTGAAGCCACAGATGTTCAGCATGGAGGTTCAGCTGGTCATGTTTTCATAGATGTGCTTTGCTTTTTGAAATATTTAAGACCTGAAGACGTAACGTTAAAGGAATACTTCACCCACAAATGACTAGTTATATATCAGTCGTGCTGTGTTACCTTAAATCTGTGAAGGTGTAGCGTAACTTAAGGCCTTAAAGAACAAAAATTATTTTTGCAATTATTACTAATTACTAATTGAATTAGTTAGGTGCCAGATGAGCGAGGGGAATGGAGATGATGTACCAGAGCTTAGATCCAGGGTCAGACATCAGAGGAGCACAAAGGTAGATAAATTAATCAAACCCGCTCTTGATGATCTGCAGCACTGGAGTACAGCTGAGCAGTTTCCAGCTCCTGAATCCTCCGCGCCACTACAACAACAATCACAATGAATCACCTTCATGATCACTGTCATTCTCCAACATCCTCAAGGAGCTTGTGACGATCAATCAGACAAAGAACAATGCTTTGTGTGGCTCAGCTCTCTTCTTCTCATGCCACTCTCCTCCACACTGGCTTTGTCTTCCTCTCACACCTCACAGGTGTATGCAGTCAGCCATTATTCTCTGTTTAAACAAAGCCCCACCTTCACCGTCACACCCACTCACCAAATCCTCCTCTGCTCAGAAAATAAGGAGCAGCCTGCTGTGTACTACTACAAAGGAAACATGTTCTTCCTCACATGGGAACCAGCCTACAAAAACATTAATTTATTGATTGATTGGGGTTTAACAGAAAAACTGTAAACTTGTGCAGTATGATCCAGGTCTCATTTATCCAGTCGTATACTCAGCACTTCCCAAACACATGAATGTTCACAAAAACACCCTCAGTTTTAAATCTGGCTTTGAAGAGAGAACAGGTTTCACTTTCAGCTAGATTGTAAAAAGTCAGGGTTTTTTTTTTTTTTTTTTTTTTTTTTTAACCGAGCGATACAGTTCAGTAAAAACAAAGGTAATTTAACTTCAAACACGACAACTATAACCTGGGAATCAACAAATGATCTTTTAAGAATTGTCTACGTGCATTTAGATCAAAGGAAACTCACAATTCATGTTCTCAGTTCAAACAGTTGGATAGAATAATCAGGCTGGCCCAACTGCTCCTTTGTTCTTCCAGGGGAAAATGGGCTGTCACCTGGGAGCCATGGCTGCATATAGATCCAAGGCTCCGCCCATTCTGGTAGAGGGAGGCAAATAGTGTCTGGGGAATTTCTGTGCAGGTAGATGCTGACAGGTAGAGGGCTGCTTGAGCATTTTCCACAAGGTTGTTTTGCTGCCTCTCACAGCAGCTGGAGTCTGAGAAGAAATAACTTCATTCACTGGGCCAACTGACGGCAACTTTTAAGGTGGAACATTAACTTGTAATGTTACTCAATGCATGAGTTGATGACGTGAATCCATCAGCACACCTTAAATTTCACTGTGACAACTTTGACCATCACTTTAGTTTTTATATGACACACACTTTTAGTAATGACTTTAAAAATATAGATGAATTTGGAGCGGATTATGTGAAGGTCATATATTCTAATCCTCACTTCCTGTGGGCTACAGCAACACTAAACCCCTGAGCTTGCCTGAGAAGGACTAAATGCACAAAGCTGCTATTTTTAAATATCCCATGGAGAGAGACTCTCACTGCAGCCTGTTCTATTTTGTTGTGAAAATGTGGGCGTGCAGCCTCGTTCTGTGGACGATAAACCAGGTGCAGACTTCCATCTGTGTCACCGCTGATGAGGAAATACAGCGAGTGCTGGACGGAGCAGTGAGTGACAACAACCCCGCCCACATTTAAGAGGACTGTCTGAACAAACCGAGGGTCTAGGTACCATGTCTGAAGGGTCACTGCTGGTTCCAAAGGTGCTGGACTCAAAGGGTTTGGTGGAGACAGGGCTTATATTTGAGGTGCAGCTCTTTTGTCTGTGTGAAGCGTCCCTGTGAGTGAAAAGACGTCCTCCCCCTTCAGAGGAGGAGCGAGTCCACAAGACCTCTCATTGTGCCACTCTCTCTCACGTTAGACAGACATGACTGTGTGTGAAGAAATGAGACTGAGTGAGTGTCGGCCCTGGCCTGCCTCCATCTCAGCAAGGAAAAGCTCAAAGGCATTCCTTCTTACCCTGTTGCCAAGCAACCTGATCCAAACATTGGATGGTGTATTATGGGATTTGACGGCACCCCATTGACGTGACCAGATTCACGGACTCTCTCTCTCACACAGCATCTTGAGTTTGTCTCTCGCCTCGGGCCAGAAGCTGTTTAAAGTGGACAACTCTTCAACTGTCTTCGTGTGTTTTTTGTCAGTGCTGTTGCAGAGACGAGCAGATCACGACCAACAACACAGAAAACACTGCGTATTGTTATCCACAGTTACTGCGGTTGTTCTACCTCCCTCCATCTGTTACTGAGGACAATAACTGCAGAGAGGTTACACTGATACTTTTTGGTAACCGGTTGGGATGGGGCAAGAAATTAATACAGCATAGTATATTTTTGTGTGGTGATATACATCACACAGTGCCAAGTATCAACAAATACAAATTAAACTTTAGGTAGCCTACTAGAATAATATAATCAATTACTTTTTCAGTTCAATAGAAACATTTTGCTGCAATTTTAAAAAAAAAAAAAATCTTGCGATATGCTGAGTATTGTGATTTATTACTCGAGGATGAACTGATTAGATTTTGGTGGTGAAGGGCCAAAGGTCCAGGTTGCTGTGACCTTGCATCCATCTCATTTTCATGAACGCTCCCGTACGTCCTGAACTTAATGAAAGGAAATGTTGAGAATCAGACAGATTGTACGATTAAACCCTAAAATGTTTGGCAGGATTGTCAGATTACTGAAGTGATTTGTCAGCTGTCAGATATAATGAGAGCACAGAGGGACAGGACGAGTGCTCCACTAATAGTCTGAGTGTTTGGCAGTACAGTGTGATCAGACTTGCAGAAAGCACCAGCAGTTTGTCTTTGTGCCTCTGCCAGCATGCAGCGCAGCAGCAGCAGGAAGTGACCCGCTGGATGTGTCACCCCGTCCCCACAGGCAGGTTCAAAAACAGAGCTGCTCCACTGGAGACAAATTAGAGCGTTTTCTTTGTGACTTCATGGCGTCTGCCTGACCTGTAGAAAACAGCTGGTGTAAAAGTGTTCATTTTAAACTCCATTGTTTATCTCACACCATCTATTGATGTATTGTGCTGTTCTTCAGAGGAAGTGATGGATGCAGAGCAGGATGTGTTACTAATCTGTGAGTGACGCTTTGCTCTTGTCCTTCAGACGGGCTCCCTGCAGGTCCTGTCTCAGCAGATGCTGGTGGACTGTTCCTGGGGTTACGGTAATAACGGCTGTGACGGAGGGGAGGAGTGGAGGGGGTACGAGTGGATCATGAAACATGGAGGCATCGCTACAACAGAAACCTACGGAGGTTACATGGGAATGGTGAGATGACTCCATGATGTAAAGCCTGTGACTGCTACAGCAGAATAACCTGTGAAGACTAAAAGCTTTTTCTTTTTGGATGGCGGGAAGCTGTGAAGGTGTTTCATTACGGCTGAAAAAATGAAACACCTTCACACATGTGGTCTTCATATTACAGAGATGGTGAATGGTGCACATCCCAATATTCTTACAGTATTTTGACTCAGACTGAATCATGGAAACCTTGCTCCTGGATTAACTTGAGTATAATTACAAACATGAAGCATTTTATTAACATGTTCCTCCTCCGTCTCTGAACAGAACGGATTTTGCCACATGAACGCGTCCCAGCTCATCGCACCGATCCAAAGCTACACCAACGTGACATCAGGAGACGCAGACGCCCTCAAGCTGGCGCTCTTTAAAAACGGGCCTGCGGCTGTCAGCATCGACGCTGCACACCGATCATTTGTTTTCTACAGCCACGGTGTCTACTATGAGCCGGCCTGTGGTGAGTCTCGCGCTCACTGGTGCTCGCACCCTCTGACAGTGACAGTCTTTCTCGCTCTTTAACTGGCTTCTTGTGTTTCCAGGTAACACCACTGATGATCTGGACCACGCTGTGCTTGCTGTGGGATACGGCTCCCTGAACGGGGAGCCATACTGGCTGATAAAGAACTCATGGTCCACGTACTGGGGCAATGACGGCTACATCCTTATGTCCATGAAGGACAACAACTGTGGCGTCACCACTGATGCTACGTATGTTACAATGGCATAGATTTGTCCATTTTCTCTAACTGTGCTTTAAAGCCACTATGTGAGTGCCTGAGGATGAATGAAACCTAATGCTGGATGTGTTGAGGTGTGATCATCACGTCAGACTGAGCTGCTCGATGAGAATCACGTGTTAAATGTTGAATTAAGATGCTGCACACAGAACAAGACGCCTTTCAAACATGGTACAAGTTTATTGGCTCACAGCTACAATGCCTTCATCATTTCAGTTGTACAAAGTACAGTCTGTGACACATTTCCACTTGAACCTTTGTAATTTGTTGCATTCAAATTTGAAACAATAAAAAATGTAAAGTTTTTTTTTTATCTGCTGGCGTCAGTGACATCTCTGGTTGATCTAACCAACTCACAGGCTGTGAGACAGTCAGGCATGCTCTCTAAACTCATGCAGTAGAATAATATGTTCAATCATAAGCATTCACAACATACTGGCCTCTGATATATTTGCAAGAAGAGAAACAGATTTTACCTGAGTGACGTTGCAAATTGCACAGTCTGCGCTTCTGGTGAATGCCTTGAGGTTTTTTGTGTATCAAATTCATACACACAGTAACAGCCCTTAAAGATACTAAACAGATCCAAGTCATCGTAGCAAGTCATAAAATACATAAGAATAATTCAATGTAATAAAAAGAGAACAAACAATGCTGAAGCTAAATATTTCACATGCTAATCACAGTCACATCCCAAAGTTTCCATACAAAACTACAAATCAATAACAGTGGAGTGCAAACGTTTAGTCCCCCCCGGTCGAAATATACTTTACTGTGAAAAGTTAGAAGATGAACTGATCTCCAAAAGACATGAAGTCAAAGACGAAACATGCTTTTTAACATTTTCAGCAAGATTAGTGTCTTATTTTTGTTCTGTACAAGTTTGGAGTGAAAGAAAAAGAAAGGAGCCCCGTGCAAAAGTCTGGGCGACCCAAAACATTTGAGCTCTCAGACAACTTTAACTATGACCTCAGACCAGGGATCTGGTTTGTTCAGTCATCGTTAGGAAAGGCCAGGTGATGAAAATTTCAACTGACTCCTGAAACCTTGTCCCAACAATCAGCAGCCATGGGCTCCTCTAAACAGCTGCCTAGCACTCTGAAAACTAAAAGACCTGATGAAGACTATAAGAAGATAGCAAAGTGTCTTCAGGGAGCTGTTTCCTCAGTTGGTCATGTCATTAAGAAATGGACGTTAACAGGAACTGTGGAGGTCAAGCTGAAAACTGTGAGAGAGCTGCTCGTAGGATTGTTAGAAAGGCAAATCAAACCTCTGTTTGACTGCAAAAGACCTGCAGGAAGATTTAAGAAAACCTTTCCTGTGTCCTCGCCGCTAAATTCAGCCTCAAGTTTGCAAAGGAACATCAAAACAAGCCTGATGCTTTTTGGAAACAAGTCCTGTGGACTGATGAAGGTAAAACAGAACTTTGAGGTATGTTTGAAGAACAAACTGTTAAACAAGGGGGTGGATGAATGATGCTTTGGGCTTGTGTTGCAGCCAGTGGCACGGGGAACATTTCACAGGTAGAGGGAAGAATGGATTCAGTTAAAGTCCAGACATCACAGCATCTGTAAAGATGGCTTCTACAACAGGACAGTGATCTGTAACACACTTCTAAATCCACAATGGACGACCTCAAGAGGAGCCAGCTGAAGGTTTGGCCACGCCCCTCACAGTCCCCCGACCTAAACATCATTAAACGTGTGGATAGAGCTCAAAGAGCAGAGCATGAAGACGGCCCAAGAAGAATCCTCCAAACAGGAACTGAGAGACTCTGAGCTGGATACAAAAAGTGCCAAAGGGGGCGCTACTGAGCACTGACCATATAGGGTGCCCAAACTTCTGCTTCAGGCAATTTAATTTTTTGTCATTTTCAAACTATAAAACATTGAAACAAAAAAGTGAATTAAAATATTTACTTAAAATATTGAAGAAATGTGTCATCTTTAACTTCATGTTTTTTTTGAAAATCAGTTCATCTTTTACTCGCTTAGCTTTACACAGTAAATCAAATGTTGACCATTGGTGCCCAAACCTTTGTACACCACTGTTCATTAGTCTAACAAATTCTATATTAAGCATAACTAAGTTAATTAGTGCATGCATTCTCACTAAACTAGATTTTTCTGTAGAAAATGAGGCAGTTATTTGTTCGATACAGCATTAAGACACAACAAAGCTATTCAGCAAACAGTCAACAGACGTGGTACTTTTATACAAAAATATTATCCACAAAAAGTAAGAAACCCTTTGGTCCTGAAAAATATGAAGTCCTAACAATATCTGCTTCTCCTCTCCTCCTGTTTGATGCTTTCAAATCAGCAGAGAATTAGAAATTATAGCTCTGAGCTGATGTTTGTAGATTTATAAATATTAGTAGTGGGGGAAAAAATCAGTACAGCATAGTATCGTGATATCTTCGTGAGGTAATATCATATCACCACAGTGCCAATTATTAATTATTAATATGATAAATACAAGTTAAACTTTAGGTGGCCAACTAGAATAATATAATCAATTGCGTTTTTAGTTCACTAGAAACATTTTGCTGCTGCTGAAGTGACATGAACAGACTGAAAACAGATGTTGACAAAGTTTTCCTTTGAGGACATAATTTACAGTTAAAAAAAGGAAATAAATCACAGTATATTTTATCACAATACTGGTGTAGTAATAGTATCATGAATCCTCTGGTTCCCACCTCTAATAAATATACACAAACATGCAATCTGTGGTTCTGCAGAGTCGTTAAGGAAACGACTGCAGAACCACACATGTAACATACATCAAACCACTTCTCAAAATAGGAACAAAGATGTAAATGTTTGAGGAATGCACAAGATTGTAAAGGAAGACTGTTCTCTGCTGTGACTTTGCCTTGGCAGCATGTATGAATGACTGCTTTGTGTGTGTGTGCAGGTGCCCGAGCTAGTTAGGTTGGTTTGCATAGAGCTCTAAATCAGGTCTTGGCATGTGTTGCATAGGGGATGTTATGTTAAGGGATGACTTTGGTATTTTTCAAACTGAAATCTATTTTTCCCATGTTTGTGTGTCTAAGAGACTAAAGGTGACAACTGTGTGTAAACTGGTCCAGTGGTGAGCGAGACTGCTGAAGCCAGGAGCAGCGAAACAGGCTACAATGTGTCTACGTGGGGCAACTGCGCACTGTCAGTTTATGTCAACTCAAGTTTTGCCACTTGCAGGCTCAGATTGTTGGTGTCATTATCATAATGGAAAGGATCCCTACAGAGATAGAGCTTTTTATTTTACCAGAAACAGTCTCTAAGGTCCCGTTTATACGACAACGATTTCAACTGAAAACAGTAAACTTTAGTTGCGTTTTGGCCGATCATTTACACGACAGCTGCGTTTTGGGTGCCTGAAAACGCAATGTTTTGAAAACAGGTTCCAGAGTGCAATTTTTTGGAAACGGCACCGCCTCCGTTGTCAAGTAAACTTGCAATATGCAGTTCCTCTGAAAATTGTCACTAGACATGCGCGAGAAAGTCGACCATCACAACAACAACGCCGAGCTCTGTTTGTGCTGCTCACCTTGTTGAATTTATCAATGCTTCAGCAAAGTGTAGATCTACTGTGGCAACTCCACCTCGTTGCGGTCCTCTGCGCTCCTCTCACCCACACTTGAGCACCTGTTCTGGGATACACAGTGTTGGCCTGCCCGGCCTGACCTCTGCAGCCCTCCCTGGACAGATGCTCAAGTGTGGGTGAGAGGAGCGGAGAGGACAGGCAATGGTAATGTATAGTTACATGGGCTTCATCAATCAAATTACGCATTACTGCCCAACACTGATTATAACTATTTAATAAGAAAGTAGTATTTGGGTATAGCAAAAAAATAAAAATAAACTTCAGGTTGCAGCCTCTGCTTGGAAAAATAAACGGTCCTAAAACTGCAGCCTCCGGTACTGCAGCCTTACCTTACCTGATTTTGCGGCTCCATGTGAACGGAGATCGTTTCAATAACGTCGTCATATAAACGCAGACGTTTTCTAAAACACAAAGGACAGACTTTTCCGTTTTTAGAGAAACTATTGTCATCTAATTGCCTTCACCAAACACACCAGACTCCATTTAAATAAACACAAATTTTATCATCATAAAACACACTTCATTCAAAGTCTAGATCACAAAATAGGACTCACAAAAGCTGTTTTGGTTTGTCTTTCCACTGTTCCAACAATCACCAGCTCTGGTTTGGTTGAAGTAAACCTTTAATTCACCTGGTGAGATGTGAAAACATGCTGCCTCTATACACGCTAAAATTACTTATTATGTAAATGGAGCCTGGTGGGATGGTCGTTGGTGATTTTGGGGCTGTTTCTGGTTAAACAAAAACGATCTTACTCTTTAACAAGGTGTTTTTCTGTCAGTCTGAGCCTGTCAGTGACAAAAACAAGCACGTTTAGTGGACGTAAATTGATGGTGCACAAATGCCCCAACTGGTTACATTACAACCTGTTTCGCAGCCACCTCCTGCATCAGTCTCACTCAATACTGGACCAGTTTCAAAACCTGTTGTCTCCACTGGTCACTTAGACACACACACACGTGAAAATAGGATCCAGGTTAAAAAAATACCAACGTTACCTTTAAGTTCTGTATCTGCAGGAAACAGTTGAGGCTGTTTAACGTGACTCATGGAATGTGCGTAGTGTTTAAAACGCAGTCAGGCCTGGCTTGTTAGACGCATCTCCTGCCGCTCCGCGCTTCTGGCTGATTGGCTCATATCCTCAGACATCTCAGGGTTCTCCTTGCTCCTGCAGGAGACAAAATACAAAGTACACACTGAACTGTTAGCAGACGTTTGGGTCTTCACATGTGGGAACTGATAGGGCGGTGAGATTCTGTGTCCTGTTCAGGGTCACAGAGGCTGAGTAGCAAAGACACATCAAATGCATGGTGATATAAAAGCTCCAGTGTAACACCAGAGGTCATGTCGTAGCACCTGGTGTCCCAGCTCTCTGCTTCCTCCACTGTGTCAGGCAGAGATCTGTCGGCAGTTTCGGGCAGGGCCAGGGCCAGGACAGCACCCAGCAGCGGGGACATACCGAAGATGACCAGAGGTGTGGTGGGGCTGTGGTTATGGAGCATGTTTATAACGGGAGCTAACACACCGCCCATCCTCGCGAACATACAGGACACACCTATCCCTGTTTGCCTGAGGTACACAGGAAGAGAAAAGTCAACCAACAGATTAAAAATACACTTTGGGATGATGTGTGTGTGAGAAAAGTATTTAAAGCTGTGCAGACCGAGGTCTTACCGAAGCACCGTGGGGAATATCTCAGCAGTGTACACATAGATTACAGCAAAGGAAGCTGTTATACCAAACTTCCCCGCCATGGCAAGAGCAGTCAGGACGCTGGGATGATCTACAGATGGCAGGAGGGGAACTGGTTATTAGATTATTTGAGTTGTGAGTATTTTTTTAGCAGGATAAAGTGGTGTCTGTGTGCCGGGTGCCGTTATCCTCAGGTGCCCTGAAACAAGTGTCTTAACATAACATAACAAGAAATGTCTATGCAAACTGATTCAAATAAAAAGATGTGTACAGTTTTGTGTTAAAGGAATTAAAGGCCTGTCTCAAATATAGGTCCCCTTGATAACAGTAATTTAAGCTCATAATAGTCCAGGCCACTAATTGAATACTAAATATAAATGTAGTTGAACTACCAGCACGCTACTGAGAAATGTAATTAAACCACTAGTTGAATCACAAGACCTTGGCTCCTCTCCTACACTGAGGATGAGATGAAAGCTGATGTTTCTAAGATTTGGAGAAAGTTCACATTCTTGTCAGAGAACAACAAACACACAGTGTGCGTCCCACCTGCAGGCACAGCCAGCATGAGCAGACAGGCGAGACCTCCAACAGCCAGGAATCCACTTTGGGAGAGTCGGCGACTGAAGGGCAGGACGAGCAGGACGAGGGTACGAGCCGGGATCTCAACCAGCCCGAACACAAACTGGGTCAGGTAGAGGTTTGTCCCCAACCTGGACACGCCCAGAGAGAGGCCATAATACACCAGCACGTTCACAAACCTGAGGGGACACAGGAGGACACAGTTATTGATTTTCTATATCTATAAATCATCCGTGCATGTACACACACACACACTCATCTTACCAGATGTAGAATAAGATGAGAGCCCTCTTCCTCATCTGAGGTGTTTGTACGAGATCCACAGCTGAGTGACTTCGCTTCCCTTCACGTAAAATCTGACACTTTTCAACCTGGACACACATCAAGCAAAACATTTGAAAGATATGAACGCTGATATTCTACATTATTTTTAACAGATCCAATGGAAAGACGAACAGACAGAGTGGTTCTCTTCTAACTCTTGGCAAGGTTTACATCTGCAGCAAGAATAAACAGACCTGGAGCTGAGTGTCACCGACGGGTTGGAAACGTTGTAAAGTACTGAGAGACGGACTAATGCTGTTATATATGTTACATAATGTTGCTTTTCTAAGGTTTTGTCGAAAATAATGAAAAACATAGAGTAACAGTATCTTTTAACAAAAACTAGTCCATAGCCATTGGTAGCTTTGTCACCTTCTACCTATGCCAGTCCTCAATGCCTATGTGCAGTTTCACATAGATTGACCACGTCAGTGAGTAGAAAAACGTGGGACAGACAGAATGACTGACTGACAGAATGACACACTGACAGTTTCAGTGATTATGTACAGCATACCATACCATGACTTAGTCATACCAAACATTAGAAAACACCAACATTGGTCCACAGGGGGAGCCACAGCGATCGGTCGCATTTTAGCCATTTTGAAGCATTTTTCTGTTGTTATAGCGCCACCCAGTTGCCAATTAGAGTTAAATTTCTCCAGTCACCTTGAGGCGTCCTGTTCTACATATCTACCAAGTTTAGTAAAAATCCATATGGCGGTTAGGCCTAGATAAGAAATGAGCTCTCTAGCGCCCCCATTTTGTTTGATGGGGTCAATAATGGAGGGGTCCCCTCAGATTATGTGTGGTCATATGCCTACAAAGTTGCGTGGTGATGGGTGAAACCCTTGAGATGTTATACACCTTTATGTGATGAGCCACGCCCTCCACAATATTCATTGCCTTATAGAAGCTCAGTTTTAGTAAGTTTTCCAACTTTTGCCAAGAGGGAACTTTAGATATTGGTCCCTAGATTATGTTCACCCAGTTTCATGCAGATCGCTCAAACTTCCTAGGAAGAGATCCATTTGAAGTGTTTTTCAAAAAATTCAAAATGGCGGTAAATCTATATAAGCGGAAGTTATGGGTTCTTGAGGCAAATGTGTTCCTCATGAGGAGAGGCATCTCTGTGCAAAGTTTCATGTCTCTACCACATACGGGGCATGAGATATGCCCATTCAAAGTTTGACATTTCAATGGGTTGCTATAGCGCCCCCCTTTGGCCAATTGATGTAATATTGCTTCATTGGCATCCTCCCATGACCCTCTGCCACTGTGCCAAATTTCACATGGATTGACCAAGTCAGTGAGGAGAAAAACATGGAACACACACACACACACAGAGTTTTCGTCACTATATAGTAAGATAAGATACATCTTAAACAGCATGCAGCAAATCAATCTCTTTTTACCTTTATTCAATTGAATACAGTACAAAGACAAGATATTTATAATATTCAAACTGATCAGCTTTATTGTATTTTGTAAATATATACTCATTCTGAATGTGATGCACAGGACAGGAGCATGTTTACCACTGTGTGACATCACTGTGTCACATGATTGTCACAGTCTATGGTCACATCAGCTTTTCCTTTTAGCAACACTCAGTCAGTGTTCAGGAGCTGAGGACACTAATTGTTAATGTTCCACGCGTGTTCAGTGGGAGACAGGTGTGGACTGAAGCAGGTCAGTCTGGTACCTGCACTCTGTCACTACAAAGCCACGCTGTTAGAACACATCACAGTGAGTCTCATTGTCTCGCTGGAATAAGACGGGACACAGATGTGAAGTTACCCATGATGCCATGGGCTCTAACACACCTCCATCCCATCACAGATGCTTTGAACGTTGAGCTGGTAACAGTCTGGATGGTCCCAGAGGACACGACGTCCATGATGGACTCGTCAGACCACTTTGTGTCAGTCTGTCTCAGATGAGCTCAGAGAAGTGGGCGGAGCTGTTTCTGGATGTTGTTGATATCTGGGTCTTAATGTACATGAGGGGTCAAAGGTCACAGACTTTGAGTGCTGGTTTTCAGCCTTGTTCCTCACATGCAGTAATGATGCAGTCTTGCTTTGAGAAACTTGGTTGGACTGTTTGCCCCCACAGTTTTTTACAAAGTGACCGCCCTTCCAGGTGAACCACCACAGAGGTATATTTTGAGCAACCCACAACTTTTCCAGTCTGTCGTTGCTCCTGTCCCGACTTTTTTGGAACACATTGAAGGCATCAAATTCAGAGTGTGTATCTATAAAAAAACAATAAAGTGTATCAGAACTTTAAATATCTTGTCTCTGTGCTGTATTCAGCTGAATATATGTTGAGAAAGATTGGCAAATCATTGCATGCTGGTTTCATTTCTGTTTTACACAACTTGTGGTTGTTCTATTACAGCAGCTTAGACAGCATGAGAACTGTGGAGTAAAATGCAGAGAGACAAACTTGTACAGCAGGAGGTAAGACCCGGCCGTTAACCAGTGCTGCCTTGCGGAGGAGTGCGATGGCTTCCTCCCTCCTGTCGTTGGCCAGCAACCATCTGGCAGACTGAGGGAGCACCCTGACACGAGACAGAGAGGGCAGACAGGAAGAGGAGGCAAGACCAAGTGTCAGAAATAAGGGCAGGGGAGGAACAAAGAGGACACCCATGTACTCTGGTCAAAGAAATGTACGAGTACACAGTGGATCTGTTGGATTTCCCACCATATGTAGAAGATGAGCAGGAAGCCCGGGGCTGATATCGCCAGCTGCAACTTCCTCCAGTCTCGTATCAAGTACGCTATGCCTGCTAGCAGCATGTAGCCCAGACCAAACGCATAGTCGGTGATGATACCTGCTAGCATGCGTCTCTTGGTGCACGTCCATTCAGTGCCTTATAGAGGAGAGGAGAGGAGAGGAGAGGAGACGCGACGAGACAGGACAAGACGGAGGAAAGGAAAGGACAGGAGACGAGATGACACAAGACGAGATGAGACGAGACAAAGATGAGGAGAGGAGAGGAGAGGAGACGAGACGAGACGAGACGAGACGAGACGGAGGAAAGGAAAGGACAGGAGACGAGATGATACAAGACGAGATGAGAAGAGATGAGACAAGACAAGATGAGACAAGACCAAGAAGAGGAGAGGAGAGGAGATGAGACGAGACAGAGGAAAGAAGAGGAAAAGAGACAAGACGAGACAAGATGAGACAAGACGAAGAAGAGGAGAGGAGACGAGACGAGACAGAGGAAAGAAGAGGAAAAGAGACAAGACGAGACAAGACAAGATGAGACAAGACGAAGAAGAGGAGAGGAGACGAGACGAGACGAGACAGAGGAAAGAAGAGGAAAAGAGACAAGACGAGGCAAGACAAGACGAGATGGAGGAACGGAAAGGACAGGAGACGAGATGACACAAGACGAGACAAGAAGAGACGAGACAAGACAAGATGAGACAAGACGAAGGAGAGGAGAGGAGAGGAGAGGAGACAAGACAAGATGAGACGAAGGAGACGAGATGAGACGAGACAAAGGAGACAAGACAAGCCGAGACGAGACGAAACGGAGGAAAGGAGAGGAAAAGAGACAAGACGAGACGAGACGAGACGAGACGGAGGAAAGGAAAGGAGAGGAGAGGAGAGGAGAGGAAAGGAGAGGAGCCGAGACGAGAAGGAGGAAAGAAGAGGAAAAGAGACAAGATGAGGCAAGACAAGACAAGACATGGCGAGACGGAGGAAAGGAAAGGAAAGGAAAGGAAAGGAGACGAGATGAGAGAAGATGAGACGAGGCGAGACGAGAAGAGACGAGACAAGACAAGATGAGACAAGACGAAGGAGAGGAGAGGAGAGGAGAGGAGAGGAGGGGAGAGGAGGGTTAAACTCAGGAGGTGGTTTGGGGCTTTAAGGTCGTGGAAAAAGAGGCTGGGTTCATGTTGTGGGGCAAAAACAAGCAGAACACATTAAAACAAGTGAATAATCCAGTCGTGCTACATCACAGTGAGTATCTGTGTTTGGTTAGTACCAAGTACAAAGGCATTGATGATGACTCCGGATATGGTGGTGCCGACTATAAAGCGAAGAATCACATAGACGGGGAAGTTGGGTGCAAACGCCACGGCGACTCCAAACACAGTCTGCAGAGCGATGGACAGCAGCAGGATGAGACGTCGGCCGTACCTTGCACAGAGAGAGGAGCGGACATGAGTTGGCACGTGCACATGCATCAATGAGTGCACAGGTGAACCACTGCGACTGTGACAGAGTGAGGCCAGGCTGCACAGGGAGGGGTGGAGGGGTTAGTGTGTGAAAACTGCCACTGCCTCGCCAAAGTCACACCTTCAGGAATGTCAGCAGTTTGAGTTTTAGCATCCCGTGAACGTTTATGTGCTAGTTCATAGAGAGAAACACTGAATATTTCACCACTTAAAGATTCTGTCAGATTTGTCAGATGGTGTTTGAGGCACAGACGTCAGAACAGTGTCGGTCTTCACTGCAGCAGCACTTGCCTTACTTTATCTTAATGCTCTGTTCAGAGAAAAAACAGACGTCACCTCCAGGTGGATCAGACTGTGAACAAACTGACACATGGATCTGATAACAGACTGAGATTTGACAGGAAGTTAGTGTTTCAGTGACTTCCTGTACGCACTTAAGGCTTGCTTACAACAAGCTTCACCACAGCTTGTTGTAATAACTCATTTGACATAACGTGCCCTTCTTACACAGCTCCCATACGCTGGCTGTGTGTTGCACCTGTACCCAGTGTGAGGCCACAGGGCTCCAGTCCTACAGAGAGCAGCGAGGCCTACCTGTCAGCCATGGCTCCAAACAGCACCGATCCCACCAACAGGCCGAACATGTAGACAGACGAACCCAGACTGTTCAGTCTGGCTTTGTCGCACACCAGGTCCCACTGGAAGAAGGAAAACCAAACAAGTGGTTACAGAAACACACCTTATATCTGAATTTATAGGCCGGTGCCTGTGTGAGTGTTGGAGCAGGAATCTGTGTGTCAGAATGCAGCTGTGTGACAGTTTAGGAGAAACACTTATTTGCTTTTTTTTGCAAAAGTCAGAAGAGAAAATCACTCTTATATCTTCCTGGTAAATAACAAGGCCACAGCCAGCAGCTGGTTAGCTTAGCTTAGCATAAAGACTGGAGACAGGAGGAAACAGGAAGCCTGGCTCCGTCCACACATTACAGAAAATACATCATGTAGCATGAGTGAAGGTTTTTATGGTAAAAATGATGGTGGCCTTCATACTGAAACGTTGGCACAATTTTTTTCTTTTACTTATCAGACTACATATAATTTTGATTTTTTAAAGAATAAAGATTTTTTTGTAGAAATGGTCCTAGACTCGGGTGCTTAATCAAGCCTGCTGGTAAAAGGATGAATCGATGTTCATTTGTACAGTGAAACTGAGTCCACCTGTTTCCATGCATGGGAATAATTATAGTTGTATATTTTTTATCTCTAATTAAACAGATCATGTGCACATCAGCATCCCTCTGTGCAAGGGATGCACGATAATATCAGCATGTCATCGGTATCGGCCGATATTGGCTTTAAAATGAAATATCAGAAACGTCCAATACCAGGGGTGTAAATATAGACAGTGCAGGCAGTGCGGTTGCCCAGTGGGCACCTGGAAATACGCCCGTGTTTGAATTTGAATTTTAGTAGCACACAAGATGTGATAAAAACAAGTATATAAAAACAAACATGAGAGAGGTAGGAAACCTGAAGGGGCTCATGGTAAGAAAAAATCTACATATACATGTTTGCCCTCAAAAAGGCAAACACATCTCCATCATGTTTTTCTGTTTTTGTAAAATAGTGTCAATCTATAACAAAATCATCTGCTTATTCTACAAAAAATATAATTCAGCTATGAAAACAATTTGATTAAATTAAAGATTTCCTATTTTCTTCTGTAGTTTTTGTCACAAACAGATATGTAACGATGATGCTGGGTAATATGTGTGTTGATCTTGTCCAGGATCAAGTCTCTGTTTAATCATGTAACAAGACGATATGATTAGCAGACGATAGTTTAGGTGCAAAATATCCCAACACTGACGAGCTGACGAGCTGGGCACATCTGCAACTGGATATAACATGAAAGCTGCAGCAACACACACTGTTGGTACAATATATTTATGCCTAAAACTCTGTGTGTGTTTGTGTTTCATAATTAGTAGCAAGGGCGCACTGGGGCCCATCATGCACTGGGGCCCATTGCCAAGTATTTCATGTCTCCATGTGCTGGTGGACGGTCACAATAAGAGTATGTATGTATAATATGATGTTAATTCCACACAAAAAACAGACTCGATGATCTCTAAGATTAGGTGGGGAAAAAGTGAACATATTGATATCGATTGCTAAATATCGGCATATCGGATATCGGCAAAAAACAAAAACAAATATCGTGCACCGTTACTCTGTACCTCTGTGACTGTTGTGCTCTGGAAGGTCTCCTGGCTGTACACCCATCCGTGGCCACACGGGACGCGCTCGGTCCGGTTGTCCTGCAGGACCTCAGAGAAGCAGCGGGAGGGATCCGACAGGCTGAAGTTGAGGCTCAGTGTATGCGGGAAGGAGGACTGATTCCCGGTCACTGAGATGGAGCTGTCCCGGCAGTGGTGAGGCGGCGTGGATCCGGTGAAGATGCTCACCATCATGTGGAAGGCGAGGAGGACCTGAGGCAAACAGATCCACACGTACAGGATCTTCTGATACTTCCCGAAGCCTCCGACGGCAGACAGGATCTGGTCGAAATTCATTCTGGGGGAATAAATAGGTCACTTTGGAGATTTGCTGTGTTTGAGAGAAGGAGGCAGAGAGCTGAGGGTGAGCACCAGCAGGCAGTAAATCAGAGGGGCTGCTGGGAGCTGGAGGAGAGATGAGGAAGTAAACAACAACCTGCATCCAGCTCCACGTGACGCCTCAGTCTGACCAGCTGTGCTCCAACAACATGTATGTAGTATGATCCTCAGCACAGGTCACAGGTCCATCAGGTAGAGAGGTGCGTCACTGACTCAATGCATCAGTTTCCTCCTTGAATCCGTCGTTTAAGAATCTGACAGAGTGAAAACAGTCAGCTGGTGTTGGGCTGATGCTCCGTGCAAAACGTGGTGAAGCCACACACACACTCACACACACACACACACACACACACTGCTGGCAGCTGGGAGCGGTGTATCCTCACTCAGTGTGCAGGGCAGAGCCACAGGATCCCAGAAAAAGACGCTCCAGCGGAAGATCACAGCCCAGCACTGATCCTGTCAGAGGAAGAGTTCATCACAGAGCCTCCTCTTCATGAAACCATCAGTTACACACGCTGCCACCCTCCCTGTAGAGTCAGAGCACTCCATTGTTTATCCGCTGTTAATGTGCATCAGATCAAACACGGTGTGTTCATGTTGTCAGAGGCTCTCTGCTGCCACCTGCTGGTTGACTCACAGTGAGTGTGTCTGTCATCACTGATGTTACAGCTCCCTGTTTGTGCTGCTGCAGCCTGAAGTGACAGTCGCTGAGGTCAGAAGGTCAGGTGCTGGTGCTGCATTAACCCTTTGAAACCTGAACAAAGTGGCTGTGGGAAGAAAGCAATGAGCATCTTCAAAAGAAGTTACATGAGGTTAATTCGTCAGGAGCAGGGCCACACCTCGAACTCACCTCTAATTACCTGCACAGCCTTCTTATACCTGGTCCACCCGTCCTGCTCTGTTTGTCTCAGATGTCTCGACCCATCCTCCCTTTGCCTTCTCTTCATCCATCATCCTCCGTACCAACCTTCCTTCATCCTCCCTCATCTCGTCTTATTCAATCTGGTGCAAACTTCTCCCATGTCTCATTCTAGGTACCGTCTTAGGGCCTGTAATCAGCCTGAGACTGAACCCCTACTCTGAGTCTCCCTCTGCCCGATCACCAGAGGACATCCCTCCTCCACCTTCACCCTCACTTACATCCATTCACCAGTCCTCAACAACCAACACCTCCTGAATTACAACTAAACATTGAGACGACATGTTGTTGTGGTCCTTGCTAGTGAACCTGAAATTAGCAAGACGTTAGGAAAGGACAAAAGTGAAAGTACAAGAAAATTACACAGAAATATGGGGGAAAGTTAAAAAAAAAAGATAAAAACAAACAAACAAGAAAATGACTTTAAAATAATGTTTAAATATAATAACAATTCTGTAATATAATTCTAAACATGTAAATATGATAATTATAAATATAGATTTCTGGACATTTTTCCCATAGATAATTTAAAATAATTTTCTAAATCTACTAAAGTTGCTCAGTGCTTTTTCCCCATGTTTCAAAATAATCAAACTCGTTTGCTCAGCATTCAAAGATTCAAATAGACTTGTGAAAGGCAAGTGAACGCAGCACAAGAAAAATGATGTCGATCCAGGTTTCAGAGGGTTAATGTCACTGCCTCTGCTGCCTTCAGGTGCACCCAGAAGCTTTTCTCTGCCAGACTGCAGGATGAAGCTACCTGTGATCAGGATAACCTGAACTCTGCTCAGGCTCAAGTCACAAATATGATGATTGTGAACTCAACTTGACAAAATTTTAAACTTGCAACTCGACTTTGACTTTAATACCAGTGACTCGTGACTGCACTCAGACTTGAGCCTTTTCATTTGAAAATTCTGTAGCTCTTTAGCTCCTCTCCTGTGGCTCCCGGTGGCTTTGACAGAAAATTAACTGGAAATGAATAACAGTTATTTTTTTAACTTCCAGATTTTAATTTGTGGTTGTTGTGGGACTAAAGTGATTATTACATTCTACAGCTGTAAAAATGTGCAGCCTATACGTCAAATTAAAAAAAGTTTTAACGTTTCATCAACTAAAACGTGTGTCAAACGTAGATGACCTGCTGCCTTGTCCTTGTCCTAAATTTTACTGAACTTCAGAAGTGGAGCAGCCTTGAGTCTCTCTAACAAGGCTGGCTGTGGATACCAGATCCAAAAGTCTTGGAGGAAAATAGAGTTAAATGAAACACCTGGATGGTGCAGCTTGGACACATAATCAGTGATGAATCCAGGGTCAAAGGGTATTTCGGGTCTTAGATCATCAGACACCTTCACCTGGGCGACCCAAGCTGTGTCCAAGCTGCACACTACACCACTGATCTGCCCTCTTGATCCACAGCCACCATGAAGCTTTGTCTGCAGCCTCACTGGTGTTTCTGATATCTTTCCTCTCCTGCAACCCTCTGATGCCGAGGAGACTGAGCGCCCGGTGCACTGACTGTCCTGGGGAACCCCTGCAGCCCACCTGGACTGGCTCACAGCTCACAGTGGGCCCTCCAACCACGCTCTCTACAGGCCTCTAACAGCGCAGGGTATTTGGCCTTCTGTCACTCATGGGCCTCCTCCATCCGGTCCTCCCAGGGGACTGTGAGTTCCTGAGTGATGTCCTTGAAATATGCTCCGGAAACTTTCAGCGTCGACTTTCAGCTGCCAGTCGTGAGCCGAGGCCAGCGGAGGATTTAATAGTGTGTGGACAGATTCGTTTGCTCTCACCAGCAACGCTGCAAAGATAAAGTACGAAATAATTATAATATGAAAGGCTGCCGACCTCTGCACCAAGTCCAAAGATTAAAAAGTATGTTACAAATCAAAACAAACTTAATCTTTAGATAATATAAATGATAATGTATTTTATTTATAGGAACCTTACAAGACACAGTTATAAAAACAAGCAGCTATGTACAGCTCATCTATCCGTACCAAAGAAATGACCCCAGTCACAACACAGAGCCACAGTACAGAGTACAGAGATTTTTATTTTATATTAAAGTTGCGCTCGTGTTTCCTGTGACGTATATTGCACTTTGTTAAACCAACTGCAGCCCGTCCCACCACAGTGAGGTCCAGAGTAGAGGGAGTGAGGAATGGCTGACTCAGCCGTGGTGTTCTGGTTATTGTCTGCAGAACAATGGCTCCTCTCTTCAGCTGGTTAAGTGGGAGGCGTTCATCACTGCAGACTCATGGGAATTAGTTTCACCTCAGTTTGGCCAGAGCTCAAAAACATTAATATCATCTTCATACAGCAGGTTACAGGGGTGGAGCGATGGCTTTATGCATAATAATGCTGCAGCTGACCTGCCATAGAATACATATAGAATACATATACATATAATAAAGTATGAAAAATAAAATATAATAAAACGTGTGACAGATTTAATAACCCAAATACGTGTAATTATTATGGGATGACTTGAGGTAGGTTTCCTTCTGAACATGTCTGTAGCCTGTCCCCTTCCTGTTGTGGGTGCTCGTGACGTCACTGATGCTCGGTCCTGGTTTGGGTGTCTAGATGGCAGCAGGGAGGAAAAACTGTCAAGTTAGATGATGTTCAGCAGGAAGTGGTCTGAAACAACATGATGCTTTAAAATTAAAAGAACAGTCTGGTCAAAATTACCTAATATAAAAATTCTACAAAACGAATAACTTTACCCCCTGAGGGTTTCAGTAGTCCTCAATATCAGCAGATATTACCTCCCCTTTTCCTTATTTATATATTTGAATAATTTCGGACTTCAGTGACTTTCTTACCTCAATTAAATGTGTTCTGTTTCTTTTTTTGTACTACAAAGTCTTTGTTAAACCCAACTGAATATATTAAAATATTTTTTTTTTTTTTTACCTCAATTATTGTTTTTCTTTTTTTACATGAAAAAATGATGAATGACTTGCAACACTGCAGGACTCTTTGCAGAAAAGAAGTATTTATTGCACTGTGACATACGTTTCGAGCTATATGCTCTTTGATGATTTTTAATTTTTTTTTTGTTTTTACATCAAATATTTTGTGTAACCCAATTAAAATAACCAAATAAATTTGTACTTCATTGATTTGTCTTTACCTCATTTAAATGTGTTCAATTCTATTTTTCTTACCTCAAACATTTTATTTAACCCAATGAAATATATTCAAATAATTTCAGACTTCAAGGATTCTTTTTTTTACCTCAATTAAATGTGTTCAATTATAGATATTAGATAATTTCAAGGGGTTTTTTTTCACAGTTGAATGTGTCCATTTTTTTTTACCTCAAACATTTTGTTTAACGACATTAAATATATTCAAATAATTTCAAACTTTAGAATTTTTTTTATCTCTAACATTATGTTTAACCCAATTACATATATATATATATATATATTTGAATCAATTTTTTATTTGTATTGTTATTCTAAGAAATGTGCTGTCCCAGTCACGTCATAATTTCACCTTTTAGTTGTGTGTTAAAAATCTGTTCTCTGCTGATGATTTTATTTTGAAGGCGGTGGCCGGAAGTGTTGTTGCTGTGGTGCTGTGTGTCTCGACAGTGTTGAGGGAGGCTCCGGAGAGAGACAGAGAGAGAGAGACAGAGGGAGAGAGACAGAGGGAGATGGCTGAAGGGAAGGAGGAGTGGACCGGGTCAAGAGCGACAGAGGAGACCCCCCTAAGGTGACCTTGATGATCCGGATCAGTCCAAGCTGTGCACAGATCCAGGACCAGAGACACATGACAGAGACCCGCCCGGCCTGCACACACACACACACACACACACACACACACACACTGTCTGACACACACCGTCTCTCCTCCGAAGGACAGTCACCAGCATCAGCCCGTGTCCTCCTGAAGGCTCCTCTCAGCCTCCTCTGGCTCTCACACAGGAAGCTTCGGACCCGTCAGCTGCTCAGGGTGAGTCCAGTCCGGCTCTGCTCACACAGGGATGCTTGTAATGGCGGTGTCATGCATCATAAGGTCAGCTGATCATGTTCTCCTTGTGTTGCTGCTCTAAGGACATGATTTTTTCACAAAACCCAGATCTGCATCCGTGACGTGAGCAGCTGATGTAGATGAAGCCCCGCCCACAGACAGCGTTCAAACATCACAGTTTATGACACACGCATGACTGAACCCTGACCTGTTCACTGGCACTGAGCCAGCAGCAGCTTTACTGCAGGACAGCAGGTTGGGACTGGAGGACAAGCCCTCCCTCAGAGACATGGCGCTCTTACTGCTTTCATTCAAATCTGTTTTAGAGACAGATATTTAGATTCCAGCTGTAGCTCAGTAACTATTCTCTAAGTCATCGAAACACATGAGATACTTTGTCTCTCTTGAAATCCTTTGGTCTAATCCATGTCTGTTTATGATTTACAGTACAGGGGCGTGAATACAGACAGTGCAGGCAGTGCAGTCACACTGGGGCCCATGAGGTGTGGGGCCCATGGAGAGAGTGGGGCCCTCCAGCAGTGTGTCGGGTGGAGAGTGGGCCCTTATGAGTGATTGCCGCCTTGTTAAAAGAAAAACTGTTATTGAATTAAATGTAATGCATTAAATATTGTAAAATAGTCACTATAACACAATCATATGCTTATTCTATAACTATAAATCAATTCTTCTATAAATCAACTAATAAAATTGTTAAATAAATAATTTCTTATTTTCTTTGGTATTTGTTGTTACATACAGATGTGCAGTGATGATCGCTGGGTAATATGTGCATTGACGTTATCCAGTGTCGAGTCTCTGATCATGTGACGAGACGATATGTGCACGATGGCGTGCACTAGGGCCCATCGTAACTACCTTAAGCTACTGATAATATGTGGACACATGAATAGATGAGTAATAAATAGAAATCTGAAATAAAAAATATTCCAAGGAGTTCAGACGAATAAAGACATCTTAAAATTATTCAAAAGAACAAGTTAATAGACTGATTATCAATAAAAGAGAAAAAATATTTACAGAGAATTTAAAAGACAAATTGCAGAGGGAATAAAAGATTTTAAATACCGGTTAGTTTAAAAGTAAAAATAATAAAATGTAAAAACAGAGAAAATTCACCTTCAAGAAAATGTTCAGAAGAAGCAAAAATACTTTTCGATTTCTGGAGGATTTGTTGATTACAAAAGTCAAGTCCCGCTGTGTCCTCCTGTGACCTTAGAGCAGATTTTAACAGTGCTATTTATTTTGTCTGTCTGTGTGAGGCTGTGAAAGCAGCCGATAAATGAAAAACACAGGAGGTTCTTAATAAAAGACATGATGATAGAAACAGCAGAGGATGATGGAACTGGTGGAAAAGGAATCTAGTTTATGGAGAAGCTGAATTCTCTGTTGCCTTCGCTTCACAATATCTGCAGTGTTTATATCAAAAAAGATACCTAAATGTTTGTATGAGGTAACACATGCCACAGTTTCACTGTGAATAACGCTTTCTTATGTCTAAAATCAATAATCAAATCCTTAGTTTTAGATAAGTCCATGAAATTATTATTATAACATCAAGAAATAAAATCCAGAAGAGCATTCCTGTGGTCTGATCCTGATCCACAGAGAAGTCACAGCACTGCGGTATCGTCTGAGAATCTGACCAAGCAGCTGCCCTGCTGTTTGCTCCTGTTTTCACCAGTGTATGTAATGAAAAGTAAAAGTGGGAGAAAACACAGAGATGCAAATATTCTTAAATATTTGCTCCTTTTATTGAAGACCTGAGGAGGAGGAGAAGGAGTTTTTACAAGATGTACAGAGATGGTAGGGTTTGTTGGGGACGGTGATTTGGGACTTTTAATCCCAAACCTGTGTGTGCATGTTGGCAGGTTGGAGCAGAAATCATCTTTGATCCACAGATTATATAATTCAGGAACAGCTCTGTTGAAGAGGACAAAATAAACGTCCTGTTTAACACCAGTGTAACAGAGAGTGGATACAGCAGACACACTGCAGCAGCAGGTCAGACGTCCCAAGGTTGTGATGCTGCTGCACAGAGAGCAGAGCGTCTGATGGTGTGTGATGTGTTTGTGTGCTTGTCAGTTATGGAGACAGTGTGTCACATGCTCATCCATCACCAGGTGTCTTTTGTTTAATGCTCGTACAGAGAGAACAAGCTATTCATCCTCTGGCTGCAGAGGACACACAAACACTCGTGCATCATCACACTCACACCTCCTCTCCGTCTCTATTTATATTCTGCTCCACGTCAGCAGCTGTTTGATCTGACAGGCAGGTGAGCTTCATGATCCAGATCTGTGGTGCGTTCACTGACTGTAGCTGGCTGTGCATCTGCAGTCACACACTGAGTCCTGCAGAATGCAGTGCTGCAAGGTCGCTACATGTGAGCACTGCTGGATCCACCTCAGAGAGGACACTCAGGATCTGGTCTTAGTAGGCCCCCTCTGTGCTGTGAGGACTGGGAGGTCAGGGGGCTGCAGTGTTGGCTGCTGGTTTGAGACTTTGTCCTTTGATTCCAGCCCCCATGTTGGTGTGTATTCTCACTGCTCAAGTGTCCCCGACACACAGAAGCCCTCACAGCCTGAGATCAACTGATCTGAACTCTCATCAGAGGAGAACATGAAAAAATCATTTCCCGCACATGGATCAATAAGTGGTCCATTTTCATTATGTCATGCTCCTATCAAGAGTTGCTCTTAACCCCCGTGTGCCATCTCTCATTCCCCGACAGATGAAGAGTGTGTCTGCAGTGGATGGGCTCTGATTTCTGCAGCCTGCTGGCAGGCGGCTCAGTGCGGACTCAGCACTTGAAGTTAAAGACTCTGTAGGGAGAGAAAGAGGTGTATTGATCAGTGTGGACCTACAGCAGCATGAGCACAGAGGTGTGCAAAGGTTTGGGCACCTCTGGTCAGAATTTCATTTCGTAGATGAGCTTGTAGAAGATGACCTGATCTCCAAAAGACGTGAAGTTTAAGTTTAAGCAAGATTAGTATTTTTATCTTAATGTTTCAGTTTCAAAATAACAAAAAAGGAAGAGGGCCTGAGGCAGAGGTTTGGGCACCCTGCATGGTCAGGACTTACACTTCCTGTTTTAAGGATTTCTTCTTGGGCCGTCTTCATGCTCTGCTCTTTGAGCTCTATCCACAGATGTTTAATGATGTTTAGGTCGGGGGACTGTGAGGGGCGTGGCCAAACCTTCAGCTGGCTCCTCTTGAGGTCGTCCATTGCGGATTTGTAAGTGTGTTACAGATCATTGTCCTGTTGTAGAAGCCATCTTTACAGATGCTGTGATGTCTGGACTTTAACTGAATCCATTCTTCCCTCTACCTGTGAAATGTTCCCCGTGCCACTGGCTGCAACACAAGCCCAAAGCATCATTCATCCACCCCCGTGTTTCACAGTTTGTTCTACAAACATACCTCAAAGTTCTGTTTTACCTTCATCAGTCCACAGGGCTTGTTTCGATGTTCCTTTGCAAACTTGTGAGGCTGAATTTAGTGGTGAGGACAGAGGAAAGGTTTCCCTCTGATGACTCTTTTTCACTCTAAACTTACGTACAGAACAAAAATAGAACAGTGATCTTGTGTAAAATGTTGAAAAGCATGTTTCATCTTTAACTTCATGTCTTTTGGAGATCAGTCTGTCTTCTACTAACTACTCACAGGGAATGAGATTATGACCAGGAGTGCCCAAACCTTTCCATGCCACTGTATATGTTCAGCTCTGTAAAGGTCTCTGCTTCCTTCCTTCCTTCCTTCCTTCCTCCTCTTCTCTCCCCTCCAGGTTGCCGTACCTGCTGCGTCCTGTCCGTCAGGTGGACCTGCTGACCCAGTGGAGCTCCAGCTCCAGAGGCCCATGGCCCCTGTTTCTCTCCACCAGTGAGAGGTGAGCCAAGCTGGCCTCCCCGGCCCCCTCCCTGCCCCCGGCCCCAGACCTGGATCCGGACCCGGACCCTGAGCCCGACCAGCGGCACACCAACGAGGAGCAGTATGTGAGCGAGGGCGAGTGCAGCCAGCTCGACACACACCTGGCGCCGCCTGACTGCAGGGACGCCGAGACCATCACAGGTACGTGTGCGTGCGTGTGTGGGGGGGTCGACTCTGATTTCAGTTTGTGTTACGGAGCATCCAGTGGTTGTAAAGCATTAACACAAGTGTAACAGAAATGTGTATTGCATCAACATCTCCAGATGTAGCTACACAGTGTGCACGACATCTCAGCAGCATGTCATTTGGTTTCCCTCCAATAACTCCAAATGTAGAAAGTATTTAGTTTGAATGAATTTCTTTGTTGTTCTCTCTAATTTCCTGTGTTATAAAGTGATGTTGCTTTAATCACATCATTTTATAAACTGTAATCAGATTCAGTTGTACTCAAGGTATCAAAAGAAAAAATGCCCCCTGTGAGTGATATCATTTTTATTTTACGCGCTGGGATCAGATCAGTACTCGGTAAGGTTCAGGGATCGGAATCGGTATCGGGAAGGAAAAAGTGGTATCTTTACATCTCTACAACTGATTCTACAGTAGTTGCAAATATTTATCGGCCCCATCTCCGATCGAACCCACTAATTTTAGCCTCTTCTACCGCCAAGATACAAAGACGCGCCATCACAAAATACTGTCTGTCTCCACCCAAGCAGCGCTCAAACATCAGTAGTCACCACTGAGTAACTTTTCCCTGGCCTCCATGCTGCTGTCCACTGTTTACTAACCTGTTTCATGACCTGCCCATGACGTCGAACATGACACAACAGAAAGGCTCACTCGTCTGCTGCACAGCTTTGTTCACAGCTCGTCTCCTGACAGTGGGAAAGGAGTCTACAGCTCATTGTCAGCAGGTCTGCTGGACTCTGATCCTGGCTCACTCTGAATTTATGCTTGACACAAAATAAAAATTCATTCATTCATATTGAAGAGAACATTCATAAAGCCAACACAATGTGGTCTTATCAGGAGTGGGCTGTGACTGAGCCTGCTGACAGTATATCAGGCACCATGTGACCCAAACAGCATTGACATCCCTCAGTGCCCCAGCAGGCAGCAGCACACTGACACTCCTTCCTGTCCTCTCTGATGCTCAGATGTGTGCAACAGCACCGACCTGCCCGAGTTTGAGATCATCAGCCTTCTAGAGGAGCAGCTGCCGGTGTACCGGCTGCGGGCTGACACCGTCTACGGCTACGACCACGATGACTGGCTGCACACTCCCCTCATCGCACCGGACGCCAGGCTCGACCTGACCACCGAGCAGATCGAAGAGACTCTCAAATACTTCTGTAAGTCTGACCAGAGTGCAGCCAACCCTAACTGACAGTATATTATACATTATATATATCTGTTTCCTGTGCAGCTGATGCTCCTGGTGAAACGTGCAGGAACCTCTCAGTCATATCGTTTATAATTCAGGCAGTAATGGAGGAGATGAGGAGGAAACTGGAGATTAAACTGGTGGGATTTTATCTGTGGGACTGGTGAGAGAATACATGTGAAGGATTGACCCACCTGAGTACACGCTAATTTAATCCTTCAAACAGTTCTTGGAAAGATAATCTGCTATAGCTGAAACACATTTTCATTCTTCATTTCCCTGCTCTGAGTCTCAGACTACATGTCACACTCAGTTTGACCTGAGCTGTATTAAATAATCTCACAGGGTCGTTATTGTCAGACCTCCCTTTTGTTTTTTTGTATTTAATTCTTTTAAAGCAGACAATGATTCTGCTCGCTGCCTCAGGACGATCAATAAGTCTGATAATAAAGCTCATTTCTCCTCTCCTCCTGCCAAAGAACCACTCTGCCTGATGCTCTGGCTCAGTCAAACACAGAGAGGAGCTCTGTCTGCAGGCGGCTCTCATATCTACAGCTTTGAGAGGCTGTTTGTTTATTATTGTTTATCTGTTTTGAATGCATTAATGATGGCTGTGGAAATCAAATTGGTCCTGCACAGATTAAAGGGGAACACCAGCTGCATTAAGAGTTCCAATAAGTTATTTCCATGACCTCGGAGAGTTCAGTCAATATTAGTGAACATGAGCTGCTCTCTGTCAAAGCCAGAAACCAGAGGAGGGAGTTTCAAACTGGTGATGTCATTGGGTATACAGGGTATAATGGGAACATTCTCCTGGCTGCTGTCAGGCTCTGACTATAAGTATACAGATATTTTGGTAGAAGGATATTTTCCTCCATGTTTGGGCCTTTTGTTTCAGGTACCTAAAATGGATATTTTTTAAGGTTTGGATTTATCAGAACTCTGGTTTTCCTTTATCTGTGTGGACGTGTAAAACAGAGAGTTTGGAAAAAGTAATCTTGCGTGCCTATTGATGCTTTGTGCAATGAGCAAACGCTGGAAACAAAATAATGGTGGATGGCTGTTTGCTAATGTTTTGTTAGCACTGCTTGGTCTAATGATGACTTTTTGCTGCACCCAGTGTTTTTGCATGTTTTTGTTCAGCGTCTGGAGTTTTAAATCCACTAGAAGCAACAGGATCAGGACCGGTGGAAACAGCAGATGGTGGGACACTTTTTTGTAAGGGGACTGTTGTTGATGAGGAGTGGAAGGAAAAGTTCCTCATGTCCAGAGCATCACTCATATGTTTAAGTGAGCTTCTTCAGCTTCCTTAAATTGAACAGTAATCAGCTGTGTGGGGTCTCCAGTAGGTAACGTTACCCTGAACACTTCACAGATACACCAGGACCACAGGCGGCTCGGCTGCTGCTCAGCTGCAGAACATCTAGAGAAAAGGAGTCTCGCTGTGTTTTCAGCAACAGATAGGCAGTGACATGATGTTTGATTATCATACTGACATCGCACCACCTTTCACCACAGTTTCAGTGTTTATATCTGAGGTCTATATTTCTAATCAAACGAGATTCCTCAGTGTTACCTGCAGTCTACAGTTTGTCTTTTCCCTGGTTTAAAATATCTCCCTCCACAAGATGGTGCCCTGCTTCACTCTGCACACAGTTTTGGAGTTACAGTCTGTGTTCTCTGAATACTGTGTGTTTACTCTACACTGATGATTTTACTTCATCTGCAGTGATGTCTCTGTGACATCAGGTAGGGTCAGAGTTTAGGAGGTTTCTGTTGTGCTCATGTTTGATTTCAATCAGGAGAGACAAGTGACTGAAGTAAAGATAATAGTCTAAGTACAGATGTACAGATTAACACATCATATGTAATGATAAAGATCTGACAGAGCATCTTTGGTGCTGGGAGACTGCAGGGAGATCCTGTAATGGAGGGGCAGCTGCCCTGATCAGTCCCCCCATGGAGTCCAGACAGGGAGGTGCTGGTGGCTGCAAAGACTGATGATGATGATGCTGAAGAATCTGCAAAAACTGGTCAGTGATGGGGAGGAAGAGGAGGAGCTGTGCACAACTGCAGCATGAGTGTACTAGAGGCAGAAAGAGAATCATATTTAGAAAAGACAGCAGTAAGATGATAGGCTGACAGAGAAGGTGTGTCGAAATGTGGTCAGCTGACAGAACAGCTGATGTCTCAATGGAGAGCCACTGACAGTGACACCATGAAATTGTGAGTGAGCATGAGTGCAATGGGTGAAGGATACATATCTTCTTCCAATGTGTGATATTGTCTGTGGGACAGGTGTACAGCTCTGTAGCCCTGCACTAACATGATTAACTTATTGTCTGGCCGGCTGTGATTAGTTGTTCCTCGTCACATGACGTGTTGCGCACTGCTGTGTTCCAAAAGTTGAACTCTGTTTATCTCAGAGTGAAGCCATTGGAACGGTGTCGCTCTGGTGTTTGAGCGCGCCTGCCATGCATCTACATTGAAAACAATGAATTTGAGGGCGCCAGAAACGCAGCATGTGCACAGTCCCTTAAACACACTAATGTGAAAATAAGGTTTAATACCAAAGATACCCTTTAATGTATCTCTGTAACTTTAAACGAACTGGTTTCATTTGAAGGTATTTTAGTTAGTGATTTGCTGAGCAGGCTGTTTCTTTAGTTTGGATGCAACAACATGGACTGAACTCCTGAGCATGTTATATTTGTATTTTTATATGTCCACTTTATTCATAATGTCTAACATGTTATTATGAGCCCTTTGCAGGTCTCTCAGTTGAGTTGGTAAATTAAACTTTGTTTGTCTGCTGAAGCTTTTTATAGATTTTTTGTGTCTTTAACACAGCTCCAGGATGTGATGATATAAAACTGTCTTCATTGTAAAGCAGAGTGATTAATAACTTTACAGTTTAACCTAAAACATTATGCTGTTTGGTTGAGAGAAGGTCAGATTATTGGTTCCCACAGTGTGTGTCTGCAGCATGATCAACGTTGAAGAGTTAGCATGTGTGTCTCTGCACGTGTCGGGGCTTTGTTTGCAGATGAGGGTTGCCGTGGTAACAGTCGCTGGAGGCAGAGAGATGTTGAGCATCCTCACACAGAGTGGAAGAGAGAGGAGACGAGGGGGTGACAGGAAGGTGAACAGCAGAGAGGTGTGGGAGTTCTGCAGCCCACCATCTCTGATTGGCTCTTCCTCTCCATCCTGCATCCTCTCCATCACAATACGACTTTCACTTCCGTTATACCTCCAGCTCAGTGGCTGCAGAGCGCGCTCTCTCTCATCTCTCCGCCTCCCTCGCTCTCGCAGGGGCGTCCATGTGGGCGGAGGGTAAATCAGTCTCTGGGCCCGGGAGCTGAGCAGCAGGAGTGGGAGAGGGGAAGTGAATGGATCAGTGTTTGGAGCCGTTGTTGTTCCTGTATCGTGGAGGTCAGGGAGGAGATGGAGATGGACAGCAGGAGCGGGATGGAGGGATTAGCGAGGGATGAATGTGAGCTGGATGACTGGTTCTATAAGGAGGACAAGAAAGGTGAAGTGCAGACATGTTCAATGTGATTCTTATCATTTTTTATTATTTCCAGTACAAAGATCTGATGTTTGTGCACGGCTCAATATTTACCTGTTGAACACACCACAACAGACGTCCTGTTATTTCACATATACAGCAACAACAAACAGCATTTTGTACCAGTTTTCTGTGTCTAACCTCCACTGGAGCTCGTCTCTGCCTTTGTTCTTCTCATTAAGGAGAATTTTCCTGCGGCCTGCTGACTTTGAATTCACTCTGTTTTGACATATCAGCTCTCGAGCACACACACATGCACACATGAACTCCCACAGTCCACTCATGTGCCGTGAGATCAGAGTGTTGTTGGACAGGAGGAACTCAGGTGCTTTGATACAACAACTATTACATTATTTTGTGCTTGTTTTGTTACTAACAACGTGACAGAGGTTTGACAGAACATATTGAATAACTTTGTGACAGCGTGTTATTGATCAGAGCTCTGAGGTCGATGGGCTCGTTCAGCTCGGGGCAACAGAGCCAACAAACATGGAAACAGCTCGTCTGCTCTGTCACACACTAACATGTCAATGTGATGGACGTGTGACATCCTAAACATGACCCGTCCATGACCTCTGAGAGGACTTTCAAACCCTCTGTGTTGTATAATGTGGCTGTGTGTATGTGCATGCCCTTCTACATGTTCATGCTTCACACAAGTGAAGAAAAGATATTTGTTACACCTCCGTGCCGGTGACAGCCTCAGCTGGAGGCGTAATGTTTTCGGGTTGTCTGTACATACATACGTATATCTCACCCATCCTTGTGAAGACGATATCTCAAGAACAGTGCAAGGGAACTTCTTAAAATTTGGCACAAACATCCACTTGGACTCAACAATGAACTAACTGTTTTTGTTGGTCATGGATGAGAGGTCACTGTGACCTTGTATAGCGTGTGTGGACAGATCATACACAAGTGACGACTCAAAGACATTGTTTTCCAGCATTTATTCACTCCTGCGGACGACAGTAGGACACATTAATCACCTATTTCTGCACCACCAGATATGGGATGTTAAAACTGCAGCGCTGTGCTGATCACGTGACTCAAGGTGCCTCGCTGTGCCACAAATGGCCGCAAACGTTAATGGAACAAAAGTGGTCACAACAAAACAAAGCAGCCGCTGACATGACAATAAAAGCAGTGCGAACAATATGCACCAAAGATTAAAACATAAACCGCTCAATTTACAGAGCAGAGCAAAACAGCACTGTGAGAGGCAGACAGAAGGAGCTACGGAAACCCAGGAGGTACAGAAGAGGCGATATGCAGCAAGTTCATCTCCACAGGAAACATTAAAAATAACAACTCAGAGATAAAATTCACAAACACTCAACAAAAACTTTAAATGATAAATAAAATGTACAAAATATAGTTTAACAACAAGAAATAATTAAGTGTCACACTAAATCTGTCACACTTTGTCTCATTCTTGTGAACGTGATATCTAAAGAATTCAGTGAGGCAGTCGCTTCAAATTTGACACAAACGTCCACTTGGACTGAAGAATAAACTGATTACAGTTCTGTGGTCAAATGTCAAAGGTCAGTTTGACCTCACAACATATGTTTTTGGTGGGCGCCCATTAGCTCAACTGGTAGAGCAGGCGCCCCATGTACAAAGGCTTTGTCTTTGTTGCAATGGCTGTGGGTTTGATTCCAACCTACGGCCCTTTGCTGCATGTCGTCCCCTCTCTCTGTCCCCCTTCACACCAACAACTGTCCTGTTGATTAAAGGCAAAAAAACCCTAAAAATATTGTTAAAAATAAAATGTTTTTGGCCATAACTAAATTCATATGCTAATTATGACAAAACTTCACACAAATGTCTAACAGGACAAAATAATGAATGATGACATTTTATATCCAAAAGGTGAAAGGTCATCATGTTTTAACGTCATATCTCAGGAACAGGAGGGGAGACATTTGGTCAGACACTGAATTGGTGACTGATTGTAGTCTTTGTTAAGCTGATTGTATCTCTGCGCCTCCTCGCCTCCTTCCTCTCACTCTGTTTGTGTCCTTTATACTCCCACAGTGCTATGTGCAGACAGAGTGGGCCAGATGACGAAGACCTACAATGACATCGATGCTGTCACACGTCTGCTGGAAGAGGTGAGGCGCTCTCTTTGTGTCTGTATCAGTAATTCAAAGCTGCAGTAAGAAAGATTTTTAACCAGTCTAAATCACACAGTGAGGCTGCAGGAGAGGAGCTGCACTGTAGGTTTGCACAAATGAAATATGTCTGTGATGTGATTAGGTGTGGAAAATATCCAACAGCGACTGAACCTCTGCCCCCACAGGACACCAACAATAATAAATGTTTTGGGGTTTTTGGGTATCGATGCTATACTTAACCATCTCTGTCCTCCGACCAACAGAAAGAGAGAGATCTGGAGCTGGCTGCGAGGATCGGCCAGTCGCTCCTGAAGAAGAACCGAACTCTGACGGAGCAGAATGACTAACTGGAGGAGAGAGTGGGACAGATCACAGAGGAGGTCTGCTCACACACACATTCACACTGTCCCAAATCAGACTCCACCTCACATTACATTTATATAGCTGACACTGTTATTCAAGGTGAAGTCCTACAGAGTGCTGCAGGGATGATACAAGTGTTACATTTAGAGACAAATTTTGTACGAGCCAAGGTGCAGTCTCAACAGATTCATTTCTCAGTCTGAGACATAAGATGTGTGGAGTTACTGTTACTGTTCCTCCATTATTGTAGAAGCAGGACAGCAGACTGTAGCGGCTTCTTCTGGAGCTTTCAAACGAATCACAGTCTTCATCAGTATCAGCGATGTCAACAGCTCCATCCTTGCTCCTGAAACTCCTCAGGGTTGGAGTTGTTTCTGTTAACGTTCTAAAATAAACCAGATTTTACAATGGAGTCTGATTAGATCCATCCACACCACATGCACACAGTCAAACAGAGACGTACAGTGTGTCAAACACTGTCTGTCGTCCTCCAGGTGGCGCAGCTGCACCATGAGCTGAACATGAAGGACGAGCTGCTGCAGTTTTACACCAATGCAGTCGAGGAGAGCGAAGACGAGTCCAGCAGCTCCCCAACGTTAGCATCCTTTCTTTCTCACTTCATATCAGCTGTAGATACTCATTTAACAGTCCACAGGTGGCACATTATAGAGAAATAAAGCCATACACTTATCTTCTGCATTAATCTGTCTGAAGGGAAAAGAAGAGCAAAGTGGGAGCTGCTTCAGGAGGCTTTGTGAGTGACACGCTGCAGAGGAAACTCAAAGAGCTGGAAGAGGAGAACCTGTCTCTGCGCTCAGAGGTATCTGTCTCCACACACACACTGACAAGGTGTAAGAAACAAAGAGTCTGGGATTATAGGGTGTATATTTATGAATATGTGATGTGTATGTGTACACAGGCACACCATCTGAAGTCAGAGACTGAAACTTACGAGGAAAAGGAGCAGCAGCTCGTCAATGACTGTGTCAATGAGCTTAGTAAGTTTCATCTCACACTCCACGTATGCATCTGTGTTTAATTCACCTGTGTTTGACTGTATGTGTGTGTGTCTAAACTTAAAGGGCCAGTGTGCAGGATTTAGAGGCATCTCTTGGCAGAAATGAAATATTCATAACTACATTTTCTTTCTCTCTGTAGCTGTTGACGTAACGCAGCTTTAACATGTTGATTTGTGACGTTTTCTGTACCATCACGTGCGTTTCTTCATCACCGCGCCACGTCACGTCTCTTCCTTCATGCCAGCTACGTGAAATTACGTTTGAATAGAGTTTGAATCTGATATGTTTGAAAAACATCGGGAAGGTGGGACAAGGGAAAAAAATGTATTAGGGGTCCAAAAAAGTCATGAAAACATTTTGAAATTTTGTCCATGAAAATGATGATGATTCTCCCATTTGCTCTTCTTCTACTCTCACGTCTCTCATCTCTCCCTCTCTCAGGCTAAAATAAACTTTTCCTTTCCGTCTCATCAGGGTTGTCCAGTCTCCAAATCTCCACCATAGCGGAGGAACTGGCTCGTAAGACCGAGGATGCAGCACGCCAGCAGGAAGAGATCACACACCTCCTCTCTCAGATCGTAGACCTGCAGAAGAAAGCCAAATCGGTGAACAGACTCATGAAGCCACGTGAACTCAGAGGTGACTGTTAATATGCTCTGTTTTCATTTTGCTAATTCAAACCTGCGTGTGTGTATTTTAAAGTTTGCGGTGGAGAATGAGGAGCTGTCTCAACACCTGGTGGCAGCTAAAGATGCTCAGAGGCAGCTCACAGCAGAGGTAACGTCCACACCACACCTTCTTACCTGCCAAGCTGATACCAGTCAGTCTGAGCTCAGTTACAAAAATCATTTTAATGTCACAACGAACAGCTCCAGGAGTTGGAGGAGAAGTATCTGGAGTGCATAGAGATGCTGCACGAAGCCCAGGAGGAGCTGAAGAACCTGAGGAACAGAAACTACCCTGCAGGAACCCCTCGACGCTTCCATCCTCTGGGGCTGTACCCTATGGTGAGGGAGTGTGTGTGTGAGCGTCTGTAGGTGTGTACGTGATCATCTTGCATTCCTTCATGAGGGGTGTTTGTGCTGCAGGATTCTCTGGCGGCTGAGATCGAGGGAACGATGAGGAAGGAGTTGAGTCTGGATGACCCAGAGAGTGAGGAGCAGAAGTACGTACGCACTGAGAGTCAAACATGCTCACACTCTAAACTAAGATGCCACATTACAGAATCAAAAGTGCAAACACTGCAGAGTGATTCCTTTGTGTCTGGTTGCAGGATCCATCGGAAGCGCGTGTTTGAAACGGTCAAAAACGTCAACCAGACGGTCCGTCAGCGCTCTCTGACTCCAACCAGCGCCAACATCCCGGGCTCAAACCAGTCTCTGTCAGCTCGTACGTCACCCCAGTCCAGCGGCCTCTCCACGCCTCATTCCAGCGTGTATGGAGGTGACATCAGTGGAGACGGTGTTGCCCTTGACAACCGGACGCAGAGCATCCTGATGGAGACGGCAGCCAGTCAGGACAGGTGAGGAAGAGCGGGCTTATATCATTAACTCAGCTACTCTTCAGTTACACAGTTACTCAGGACAGTTTTAGGCATCAGCATGATACACAGAAGAGTTACCTCCTTGATTTGTACAGTTTACAGAACATGTACTTTAACAAACTGGTCTCTGTCTCCTCTCTCAGCGCTGAGGCCCGAGAGAAGAAGACCAGTGGAGCTGAGGACCTGCGGCTCGCCCTGCGCCGCCTGTCTCTGCGTCGACAAAACAACCTGAGCGAGAGGCGCTTCTTCGAAGAGGAGAGGGAGCGGAGACGAGGAGGACACGGAGGTCTACATGACGCCCTGAGCCAGGAGAGTGCGCTGACCCCCTCAGAGAGCATCATGTCCCTCGGGAACCTCCACCTCTGGGCCTCGCGAGGACCCTACCTCCCCGACAAACTCCAGATCGTCAAACCGCTTGAAGGTGAGGGTGAAATGGAGAGCGAGATGAGCTGCAAGGCGGGGAGGAAGCAGGAAGGGGACCGCCACAGAGGGGTCGGGACAAAGAAAGGGAGCAAGTGGGGCTGGGGGGCGGAGGGGGAGAGGTGGCGGGAGAGCTGGCACGGGCGGACACTGGAGGGGGAGAGAGAGAGAGGCTGGGGATGGGTGAGGAAGACGGGAGCTGGGATAGAGAGGGAGAGGGGGAGAAGGTGGGCCAGAGACCGAGCCGGAAGCAGGAAGATGAAGGGAGCGAGAGAGAGGAAAGACAGACCTCTGTCACTGATGCTGTTAAACTCTTTCTGGTCTCTGATGCATCATCACAAGTCAGGCAGCTTCACATCTCCACACAGATACTACAAAGACACACAGCCCAGAGGATGGCTGTAGACACACCAGACACTGTCTGTAGTGGAGCCAGCAGTAAGCCTTCAGACATGGTACCTAGACCCTCGGTGTGTTCAGACAGTCCTCTTAAATGTGGGCGGGGTTGTTGTCACTCACTGCTCCGTCCAGCACTCGCTGTATTTCCTCATCAGCGGTGACACAGATGGAAGTCTGCACCTGGTTTATCGTCCACAGAACGAGGCTGCATGCCCACATTTTCACAACAAAATAGAACAGGCTGCAGTGAGAGTCTCTCTCCATGGGATATTTAAAAATAGCAGCTTTGTGCATTTAGTTCCTATATTTTTAAAGTCATTACTAAAAGTGTGTGTCATATAAAAAATAAAGTGATGGTCAAAGTTGTCACAGTGAAATTTAAGGTGTGCTGATGGATTCACGTCATCAACTCATGCATTGAGTAACATTACAAGTTAACGTTCCACCTTAAAAGTTGCCGGCAGTCGGCCCAGTGAATGAAGTTATTTTTTCTCAGACTCCAGCTGCTGTGAGAGGCAGCAAAACATCCTTTCATTTTATAGTTACAGTTTACTAATAAAACTCTCCACAGTATGAACAGTGGTTACATGAGCCTCAAAACCAGACACAACTCAGCCCTGAGCAGAGTGAGCGTGTCTTTGATTTATGCTTCTGAATTATGTGCCAGTCACAGCTGATGATGTGACATCACTGATGGGCCAGAAGTGTAACACACAAGTGTTTTCTTGTGGCTCAGTGTTGATTTGACCTTAAAGGTGGCTGCTGGGCCTGTGCTGCCCTCTGCTGGTGATAACTCAAACTTCATTTAAAAGCACAGTCTGTAGAACACATCTCCATGCTCTGTAGAAACCCTGCCTCTGCTTCTGTTTACATCTATTTATTTCCGTTCACACCTTCTCATATATGTAGTATTTTTCTGTCTTTATTTGTGTCTTCATTATTTCTGACTTCCTGTTTTTATGATTTGTGTTTGCTCACTCTGACACTTCTTGCTGTCTCTGGTTCAAATTAATGTGGCTGACTAATAAAACCTTGTCTCATACTTGCTGCTCTTCCATTTCATTTTCATCTCCTGTCCTTTTAGTGTCTCTGTGTTTATCTTGGTTTGTTGCTCTGATCTGAGGCCTAACATAGTGTAACCTAACACCCCTCCTCATCTGTTTTTACGCCTCCATCCTGGTGACAGCCCTGTCATGTTTGTTGGTTTCAGGTCACTGTGACCTCACAGAGCATGTTTTTGGTCTGTTACGATCCTCTAAATTAGCTCGAGCCAAAGAGACTGAACACAGTTAAACAAGGCAGGAGCTGCAAAGAAACACGTTTTTTATTGAAAGGTAAAGAATCACTGTGACCAACTCAAAAACCCAAGAACCTAAGAACCTAGCTAAATTAACCCCCTCTCTTCCAAACTAACTGAAAACTGGTGTGCCAGCCAGAGGGAACAAAAGAAGGGGAGCCACCACAGTCCAGCCCACATGGGACCGTTGGGACAGAGCTCTCCCCTCTACCTTAACATAAACCAACTAAAGCCTCAACAATAGAAATAAAGCTTGTAGCATGTAGGATTCATGCGCTGATTATGACAAAACACCACAGAAATGTCAAACAGGACAAAATGATGAAGTGAAGAAGAAGATACACTTTATTAATCCCAGAACGGGATTTCACTCTGTTGTCACACACACACACACACACACACACACACACACACACAGGACCTATACATGCATTAAATGGAGGGAGGTCAGACACATGGACAGGCACCCTGGGCAGTTCAGTTCCCTGGGACTTGAGCCAGCAACCCTCTGGATCCCAAGAAAAGTCCCTATGGACTGAGCTACTGCCGCCCTCAAAGGGGGTTCTGAATCCCGGCTGAATCTAAATGTCCGAACTTTACCGCATTTGCAGACTCCTGGACTTTGTGGGCGCGTTCCCGGGAAGCCTGAGAGTGCTGAGTGCTGCCCAAATCCACAGTTCATCCAGTCCACAGGGGCCTCAAGACGTTCTGCAGACTTCCAGAGAGTCTGCTTGGGCTGCAGACTTCAGCAGACTTCACTGATTTAATAACCCACAATTCATTGCAGTATGGACGTGACGTTGTGGGTTTCCAGTGCTGAAAAAAAAACTTGTGAATGTGTAAAATAGTTATTGATAGTTAGGTCTATTAAAATGTTGCTTTAACTGTGAAGGCCACAAATAATATTCAACCTCATCATGATGCAGAGATATGTATGAGTCCAGGCTGTACAGGGACTGAAAATGTGTTTTATTATTGCAGCCTGTCAGACTGATAAGATGTGATGGGCTGAAAAATTATACTAACAACAAAAGAAGGTTTCTAATGTCAGTAGGACACAGTTTATTGAGTCATAGTCCTGATTTACACACATCTCTGTTTTAATCATGTGTAGCTGTTATATAGAGATGTGTTAATACATTTTTATTCAGTCACAAAATAAGGCTCTGCATGTGATTTATATCTTGTTATCTGCAGGAACAGATGAGTTTAGCACTGCTCATCAACTTATATGACATGAATATGAATATGACAGCAGCAATACTTAAACATTTCCATGGCAACGAATTAAACAGTCTCAGCTTGCAGTCTCTGCCCTCGCACACTTTACATGATGACAGTAAATACGCCACACTACGTACGTCAGCGAGGGCTCAGTCTGCAGGTCCAGAGGGTGGACGTTTGGATTCAGCCTTAATGTTCTTTCCTGGACATGTTTTAACGTCATATCTCAGGAACAGAAGGGGAGACATTTGGTCAGACACTGAATTGGTGACTCTAATCTTGAAACTGAGCTGATTGTATAGATCTTCTGTGTGTGAAGCATCCATGTTTTAGAACATGCAGCTTCCATATTTGAAGCACCTGTCATGGCGACATGTGAGTCTGGACAGACGTGACTGTCAGCTGTAACTTGACTGGTTGGTGGAGGCAGTTTCATGTATATGCTCATTAGACATGGCTTTTAGAAAAGTAGTTACTAGCATTAAAGCATATGTTAGATGGTTATTTGTCATGATTTGGACATGTAGTCTGCAGGCTTGTATCAGCCCATGAACTAGTGCTGGATAAAATATATCTACATACATTCATCCGTCAGTTTGTCCTGCAGCAACATCACAACACCACTTACTACACGTGTGTTATAGTCAGAGGTTAATGTGATTTTTCAGTTTAACATGAGTAAAGTCTGTGAAGCCTTCTAACACAAACCACAGGACACAGACAGCTAAAGTTCCTGTTCAGGAAAGCTACGTATCAAAAGCATCAACTGCCTGACAGTAAAATAATCAACTCAGCTTCATTTATACGAACATGCAGCCCACTGTGCTTCATGTGGCAAAACTGGAACGACACACAATTTGAAGCATAGCACAAACAACTGAACATAAAACAACAAGACAATAAAACACAAAGATGTTAAAAAAGAAAAAGCAAACAAAACAAAACTAACAAAAACAGATGATTAAAAGTCTTTAGAATAAAAAGAAAGTTAATATATAATCAGTTCCAAGTTGTAAATCACTTACATATTTATTTATTCAAGTGTTTATTTGTGTGTGTAAAGATATTGAGTGAACTGCAGTCATATCCATGTGTCTCCCCCAGGCTCTGCCACCCTGCACCACTGGCAGCAGTTAGCTCAGCCTCACCTCGGGGTGATCCTGGACGCCAGGCCGGGAGTCGTGCCCAAAGGCTACAGACCCCTGGAACTGGAGCTGGAGCAGGTCTGTGTGTGAGTGTGTGTGAGTGTGTGTGTGTGTGAGATCATTTGTGTGTGTTAGAGAGATTTTAATACACCCTCTGACCAGCCTAACATGCAGCATCTACTCCAAGAAAATAGTGTCAGTGTCATAGATGCAGCAGAATATATCAGTGCATGTCACAGTCCAGAGGCCTCTGCACACTGAGTCTGTTTTTTCAGTTACATTTTTAGTCTGTTACGCACACAAACCTTTCACACTGATTCTGATGAGTTTTATTCTTCTGTTAGTTGTGAAAATTCACAATACGTGACAAAATGAAAAGACACATTTCCTTCTCTGCCTCTCTCCACTGGAGTTCCCTATCTGACCATCATCACTCCCTCCCTGTCTTTCATTTGGCACCACAGCTGCATGAAGGGGCGGAGCTGTCCTCCTCCTCCTCCTCCTCCTCCTCCTCCTCCTCCTCTTCATCATCATCTACCTGAAAATCACTATCTGACCTGTTGACAGTAGCTATCTGACTCATGAAATTATTCTGTGCACCCTGTTCCTCTGTCTTGTCTCAGCTGTGTCCCACCGCCACATTTCCTCCTCTGATTCTTGGTCAAACGTCTCTAAAGGCTCCGACGGATGAAGGTTTCAGACTCAGTGTGCACAACATGAAGTCACTCATTAATTTAATGCCCTGTTTTGCTCTGTTGACTGTTGTTTTTTGTGTAATCAAATTTTATTCACTGCCTTTTATTGTATTTATGCTCAGTGAACGTCAACAGATTACTGCAGACATAATGTTTTCCCACTGCCTGACAGCATGCCATCAGTTACACTATAATTATACAGCTTTATCACTGCACAAATAAAATTGGGATTTGTCGTCGTCTTTTACTACAGAGGGAATCCAGTCCCACATATGTGCTGTCCATCTGTTTAACTCTGCTGCTGTTTTTCTCCTAAGTTAGTTCAGTGGGACGAAACGATGAATAAAATGTACACTGACAGAAGAGCTGAGGAGATAGGCTCAGATAGGTTTGGTGTAATTCATCTTTATTTCGATATATCTCTGTGTTTATATGGTATGACTTGACTTATTACTTGCAAATACTCCGTACCCTCCTCATGATAAGTAACACTCAGTGCTCCGTCTCTGCTGTCTGTGCTGCACTGTGTCGTGTGCAGGTGTATCCGTGGGGCGGCTTCGAGGAGGATGAACCAGGGGAGCAATACTTCCAGAATCTGCCCACCTCCTCGGCCTCTGCCTCTGCCTCACCCGCCGTGCCCTCCACCTCCAGCACGAGTGACACCAACCTCGGGCAGCCTCCACCCAGCCTCGCTCCACCATCTCCACCCTCTCCATCTGCGTCGCCTCATCTCAGCAACACTGACGTCCTGGGTGAGGACACAGCACAGTCATACATACTCTGCACTACATGTAGACTGTTGAGGTGTATCATGTGTTTAAAAATGTTTTCTGTGACCTGCAGCTGCGTACTACCCAGGTAAATGCATGGCCCACACCAGCTCTACCTACACCTTCACCACATGTCGGATCCTCCACCCGACTGACGAGCTGACGCGGGTCACACCAAGGTAAGCAACAGATGTTGTCTGGAGCTGCTCGAAAATGTATGTTCAAAGTCAACTTTTCCTGTGAAGTTTCTGTCTGATCTGAGAGAATTCATTCGGCTTCAACCACAGCAAAAAAATTTTTTTCTGCTAAAAGCCTCTGTATTCAAACATTACTGCAAAATCTAATGAAATAGTGTGTTTCCATAACAAGTGTCTTGTGTTTGCCTCCTAAAGATGCACTCTGTTTTGAATTATGCATGCTTTTAAAAAACAAAGAAAATGAGTTTTGTATGAAACGTTTAATGCAGCTTAATGTGCTAATGTTCCTACAGAGTGCTCAATGAGCACTCAGTCTGAATTTGACTAAAACCCACAGGACAGATAAGATCCAAACAGCAGGCGCTGAGGTGGGATCCAGTCCAACAACATTCAGTCAGTAGTCTTCTAGACAGTAGGAAGGTCCTAAATAATACATGCAGGTCCTTAAGGTTCGATCAAACATCGTCCGTCGTGCACAACAAACACAGTTTGATATGATGAGATGTTGCGATTGTGCAATTTAAGTATCATCTTTTCAATTTTCCTAATTCTCTTTGTGGTTTTGTTTTCCTTCTCTCTCCAGTCTGAACCCAGTCCCAGCGTCGTCCGCCTGCGTGATGACCAGCAGTCTGTTGGGCACACCTGCTGCCACACCCTGCACGCCGCGCAGGCTCAGCCTCAGGCCGTCCGAATCCTCGACCAACCTCAGGCACGGTTTCACATACACCAGAAAATTACTTCATTCTCAGCTGTTGTCTACAGATATGTCTCCTTCATGCTACTGTTTCTTTGTAAATGAGTTAGCAGCACAACAGCACTGACAGGAAGTAGGAAGCAGACTGTGCTGCTTGGATCAACATCACTTGTTACCAGTCAGTCTGACTCTCTTGTTTCCCATGTTTGTGCAGAGATGCAACACGCACCACCAGCACCTCCCTGGGGTTAGTGCGCCTCCTCCAGGAGAGAGGGATCTCAGCAGCGATGTATCACCAGAGTCAGGGCCTGGAGTACAGTCAGGGCATCGGAGGAGTCTTATTCAGCACCTCCATCGCTCCAAACCGAGCGCCCAACCCCGACCCTCTGCGCCCCTCCACCCCTCCCAACTCACCCACAGGACAGGGAGCTTCAGCTGTGCCAACGTCCGCCGGCTTCGACTTCAAGAGCCCCTCCTACGACAACTTCCTGGCCTCCAAGCCAGCCCGCTCCATTCTGAAAGAGGTGACGGGGAGGATGAGAGGCAGGCAGAAAGGGAGGGACTGTGAGAGCCAGACTGACGTTAGCGTGACCGTCCACAACCTCAACCTGCTGGACAAGGTGAAGCGGCTGGGTGTGGCTGGAGCTCCAGGTGGCAGAGCAATGAGTCCAGGCCCCATCCTGGGGCCTCTGGGTGGGCTGCGCAGATCCGGCTCCCCTTTTGGGCCCGATGGAATGAGGAGGAACCGGAGTTATCCAGCCATGGTGGGGGCCAGCATGGCCATGAAAGCCCCGGGGCCCCAGGAGTAGTCTGGACTGCTGCTGGCCGTTAAGGTAGCCACGTAGGAGCCAGGCAGGGCCGAGGACTGACTGTTGAGCAGTCACCTGGAGCCTGACACTGTTCATACTGTACGATGACAACATGGCACTGCTGACAGTTTCTAACCACTGCTGTGCTTCCACACAGACACTGTCCACTCGTGCTGTAATTCAAAGCAAAATTAGGGTTGTTTTACCCAAATTACTGCAAATGATTCTGATGTGCACCCATGCAGATAGTCTTGGTTTATGTGCCCATATTATGAGACATCTGAAATGTCTCAGACGTGTCTGTATCGAACAATCTGAGCTCGTACAACCAATTTCCTATAATTAAATTTTATGTAATTGGGTGAACTGACCCATTGAAAGCAGAATATTAATATAATTACTGAGATCTCTCCCTCTGCTGTCCACTCACATCCCTGCTTTGGAGACTGACTCTGCTGGCTAGATGTAGTACTCCCACTCTTGCCTTTACTGAAACACATCCACAGAATCCCACACACATCAAGACACACTGGTGCACTCAAATCTTAAACCTGCCATCTTTGTAGTCTCTGTAGCACTAAACCATGCCTTTCTTCTTCTCTCATTGGATTAAGATCCACTTTTTATAAATCATTCAAAACCTTTGACCAAATAAATAAAAACATGTCACGCTTAAGACAGATTTATACTTCTGCGTCAGCTCTACGCACGAGGCCTACGCCATGTTGAGCATTATACTTGTGCGTCTGAGTCACTCCAAATCACTAGCCTGAGTGTCAGACTGAAGCTCCCAGAACCTTCAGTCTGACATCGCCTCCATTGAAGGCTATTTACAAGGGGGAGGGAATTTGATTTTTCCCTAACCAATCAGTAGAGATCAACGACTCACCCAGAATGTGACGTCATTAGTATCCATGCCTCGGGGGTGCCGAAAACAAGTGAGCATTGCCCGTTTAAAATGTCTCTGTGTGGCGAAATACCTCGATAGCATCGTTAATGTGGTCTGTAGGATCTGTAGCGTCGCCATAGTTGCTATCCTCACCAGTTACCCACCGGCGCACAGCTTGACATCAGCGTGGCGCTGATTGGCTAATCGCTAGACCCGCCCCCACCCCCGGCGTTCATTGGTCCGTCCATCTTTTGGACGAGATAAATTGCAAATTCATTGCAGTATGCCAGACCAGAGATGCAAGCCTACTCAGTTGAGTGGGCAGGGTCTATGGTCTGGAACCAGGCTACCAAATCACTAGTCGGAGATGGGGTTTCTATGAAGTGCTGTAAAGTTTCATGATTAAAAACACACAGTAAACACACATTAAACACACATTAAACATGTCTTAATAGAGACAGTTTCAAACACAACTCAGCTTCACTATAACTCGCAGCATTCACAGACAAACACTTGTCTTTATCTGGACAAAATTAGCCTAGCAGCTAACAGACTTTTTCCTCTTCACATATGAAGCCAGAGACAACAGCAACATTTAACAAAGGTAACGTTACAAAATTCGGCTCCATTACAGTTCACAAGATTTACCGACAAAACTACTTTTACTACTGAAAACGTTTCCCCACAAATACAACATGCTAACGTTATTAGCACAAGCCTATGGCATTTTACATTGTATAAATTAGCCTAGCAGCTAGCAGAGATTTCCTCTGCTCATATGAAGCCAGGATAAATCACACACAAGACTTAAAATGCTATTTTAGTGGAGGCTTTATTGTCTTCACAATTTATTGTTTCTTATCTGTGAAATTAAAGTAAATCAAAGCTTTGTTTCCACTGAGGGAAATGGTTTCAGCTCACAGAGACAGACAGGAGGTCTGCGTCGCTGTGACACTGTGGAGTTACATTTCTGGGGAGGTGCACGTCAGTCTACACATCAATGACATTGATTTGACACAGAAGTATAAATCCCGCTTTACCCTCACTCTGTCCCATCAGTGTGACCCCTGACCTTTGTCTCGCCTGAAGTGATTAGATGTGAATCTAATAAGTCGCTTTTTGTTTTATGGGTTTTTGTTTTTTTTTATAAATCATTAAATAGATTTCACAACAGTATTAAAGACACTTTGGTTCAGTTTCCTAATTGGCCATTAGACAGGGAAGTTGATGGTGCTTCCACAGAACGAGGCGGATCGATACGATGAAGCTACGGAGAGAGAGAGCGATGAGGGAAGTGGCTACTCAGCTGTCACAGTTGGAAGCTTTCAGAGAAATGAAGCAACACAGTGCCTCCACCATCTGATATTTTATTTAATTTAATTTAGAATTGTAATAATGTTCTTTGTGTGTGTAAGGGTAGGAAAGAGCTGTCACAGCTGTTGTTGCACTTTTATTTATTTGAAAAAAATCATGTGAATCTTCATAAAGAATATGCTGTCTCATGTGCACACTGTATATACTGTTCACTGTCACTAAATGCTCAGTAATGACACTCATAAAGGGATCGTTATGTGTTGCATAACCAAGAACCACACATCACTGTAAGTATCAGGGTGAGCATGTAATGAGGGTGTTTTTCCAAATAAAAATTCAGTACTCAAACAATAACTTGATGGTGCGATTTTCCCCTCTGTACATGAAATCATGACTCATTCAGGACACGAAGAAGTCCCAGACAGGAAGTCATTATTCCCCCTCCTCCAGCAGATGGTGCTCAGCCATAACTCAGCCCAGAAAATAGTCACTATGTGATGTGTGTTTGCATTTGTCCGTCTGTCCACATTGGCGCAGTCACAATCCATTAGCCATCCACCATCTGTAGCGTTTGTGTTATGAGGGATGTGATGAGGGCAGATTATTAAACCTCTGTTAGCCACAGGGTGAACGGGAGGTGAGCAGTCATCCAAAAATACCACTCTGGCAGCCGGGGAATGAGAAGAGATGAGATGCAGCTGCTTCATATGTCACTGACGTGTCTCTGTGTGGACGTTGTCCTCTCAGCATAACATTATGGTAATCTTATTATCACAAGATCAAATCATCTGCCTCCTGAGGTGAGAGGACGTCCACCCTCAGGTGCAAGTAGGATGCTCCTCTGAGCACAGGTATCACTTACAGGATATCTGATGGAGCCGCACAGCACCATCAGCTCCACCCATAATATCTGTTCATTAAAGCTGATATTAATTTAACTGACTGCTCTTTAACTGTATTATATATATAAGTGACTACTGTCAGTAACATTTAACCACGCTGGCAGTGAAGTTCAAGGAATCTGACCTTGGTCCAGACTTAAATATCTCGTATTTAAACAGCCATGAAACCACGTACAGATGTTCAGTCTGACCCTCACCGATACACCCTTCCTACCCAGGGAATATTAAATGCCCCCGCACGCAATTGGATAGCGCGATGGCCAATCAGAGCAAAAAACAAGGTGACGTATTCATTGCACTAAGCCCCATTTGTTTGCTGACCAGTGAGGCTAACTGATATATTCTGCTTTTGCCGTATCCCGTCGGCAAAACAGCAAAAACTTCCTTCCTGGAAACGAAGGCTTCTAGTGCAGTCTTCTGTTCCTCTCTCAGGAAAAAGATAAGTGTAGTTGGCTTAGCGTTTCTTCCAAAGCTAAATTGAATTCAGCAGCTGTCATCTTGGCTGTTTACTTTTCGACTCCTACGGCGCAGCGCTGTCCTCATCATGTTACGCCCGCCCAGAGCCCGCCTCTGTCAGATAGACTGATCTGATTGGTCCGATGGCGATTCACCGGGATTCCCGTGCATTTCCAGGTTAGTACTGAGCAGCGTTGCCAGCTGTACAATAATTATCTTATTTGTACGATAATTTGGCACTCTGTACGATCAATAATCACCAAAAAGGCCAAATGTACGATAATTTGACCATTTCATGAATGTGTGGTTGTAATCAGTATGCCAGAGTTTTTTTGTGAGCCCTGAAGGCATCTGTTCTGTCAAACAGGCTGCAATGTAATCACTAGGGGCATCCGTGCACCGTCAATTTACGTCCACTAAAAGTGTTTGTTTTTGTCACTGACAGGCTCAGATTGATTCCTACAGGGATAGACCTTTCTGTTAAGAGTGAGATCCTTTTTTTGTGTAACTAGACACAGCCCCAAAATCAACATCTCCAAACCCACCAGACTCCATTTAATCAAATAAAGTCCCTTTCCCACTGCACAAACACCTGCAGACATCAGGGAGGGGAGGAGAACATACTGTTGCAGCTGAGCACAGACCTACTTTGCAGTTTGGAGGGTCGACTGGGTGGTTTATCATTTGGTTTGTTGATTGTGATGGTTTTTTACTTTATAGATCACTACAGGCTGCACAACATGGCATCATCTTCTTTGTTGTTGTCTGTTATAAACAAATGATAACTGTAGAAAGTGTGTGTGTAGCAGCTGCTATGTGTACATAACACAGATATTAAGACATCTCATAAGCAAGTCAGACAGACATTTACCGTGCTCATTGCTGTGCACAAATGTTCTGTGTGCACTAAGGCCTCAAGAAACAGATGGTAACCTCCCGGCCATGTGCAGCACTTTGTGTGCACACTTTTTTTTTTTTTTTTTTTTTTTTTGCATCAGCATTTTGCACAAAATTCACCTCACGTACCATTTGTCAGAGACCAAAGCCTTTTTTGTACCAGGCTGTAAACATGTTTATTTCTGCTGTTAAATTTGAGTAGGTATACCCGCCCTCTAGGTACGTGACTCGCCACCTTAACCTAAATGTCAGTCTACCACCACCGCCGCCACCATGGCCCCCTTCGCTCCTTGGACCGAAAGTACAAGGCCCAACAAAATTGCTTCATGTATTATGTATTAAAAAGTGGATTATTGCTTTGTGTGGTCTCGTTTATTTAAGTGGTGCACTGGGGTGGGAGAGCCCTTCTACATGTTCTCCCTGTGTCAGCGTGGGTTTCCTCCAGGTGCTCCGACATGTTCTCCCTGTGTCAGCATGGGTTTCCTCCAGGTGCTCTGACATGTTCTCCCCGTGTCAGCGTGGGTTTCCTCCAGGTGCTCTGACATGTTCTCCCTGTGTCAGCGTGGGTTTCCTCCAGGTGCTCCTACATGTTCTCCCTGTGTCAGCGTGGGTTTCCTCCAGGTGCTCCAGCATCCCCCCACAGTCCAAAGACATGCAGGTTAATTGGTGACCTGTCCAGGGTGAACCCTGCCTCTCACCCAATGTCAGCTGGGATAGGCTCCACCCCCTGTAACCCCAACAGGATAAGCGGTTAGCGCAGTAGCAGTTCAGATAACCTTCATGCTGGTGGGTTTGTCTTAAGGGGCATGTCGTGTACGCTACAAACAGAATGTGTCTCATTAAGTTGAGCATTTTAATGTGGGGGTCTGTGGGGATGATCTGGAGCCAGTCTCAAGTAGCCACTAGAGGGACTGCAGTTTTTGGCACCTCTGTGTTGGCTTCATTTTTCCGGATTGGTGCTGCTTGGTGAATACATGCTCCCAGAACGTTATATTTCTTTTAAATGTGTAGTTTCATACATGACTACCTTTGAAAGTTGCTGCTGTGTTATGTGGCAATGGTTGCTCGATGAATCTCTATATTGTGAGCTTGGAATTATCGAGTTTTGGAGCCCAGTCCAGAGCATCAAAGATAGGAACTCTCCTTCTCTGCCTCTGCCATAAGTTCTTCCGTTTCAGATGCCAGTAAAATGCCTTTGAGTCGACCAAAGCTGGTTTTAAGTGACAGAAATGAAAATGTTGGAGACAGACAGGACAGAGAATGAAAGACAGTGTGTCGAGCCAGTTTCATAGATGATCCAGGAAGAGCTCAGGCCATCTGCTCGTCACCGTTACTGGATCTCCATAACAGCCACACTCTCGGAGCTCACGATGCTTTCAT